CGCTGCATCCATCCTCGTGTGTGCCACTGCTGCCCGAGGCGACACGACGACGTAGGGGGAGCCGCCGCATTGGAAACGGTGCCGCCAGATCAGCCCGCCCATCCCACCGCGACACAAGCACGCCCGCCAGCGATCGTGACAGCTGAGACAGTCCTCACACCGGCCACCGCGACGCTGTGTGGCTCCAGCACAGCACCGCGCTCGCAGCAGCGCCCGACGCAGCAGCCGCCGCGGCGAGGGATTGATCGTTCTAGCTCCATGTACGAACCCGGCACACGCCTGCTGTGGCCCCATTGCTGAGAGTCGAGCGGCGCAATTGACTGGCTGTGAGCAGATACCACGACCAGAGCGTGCCGCGCTGTGCTACATGACACTCAACACCGCCGCCGCGCCTGCCGCCCTCGTCTGACACGTCTGTCTGCACGCACCACACACGTCTGCACATATTCTCCGATGCCCCACCGCTCCTCGACACGCTCGACACCTCCGACTCTGGTAATATAAATCGACGCGGGGACGAGTGGGCATGCATGAGAGCCGGGGCGAGTCTGAAAAGTGAATAGCAGCAGCTGCCAGAGCTGGTGTGGCGCGCTCCGTCTTGCCCAGCGACTGGGAGGCCTGTCATCACCCTTCGCTGCATCGACGTAGGCTGGGTGCCCATTGAAAGTTCACCGAGTACCTGGATCACTCCCAAAGTCAAAGGCCCATACCTCACTCGCCCCTCTCGCGCTTGTGTCTCTCGCCAGAAGTGACCCAGCTTCCGTCTTCATTTTCGAGTCCTTCGTTCCTGTCCATACCGAGCTACCCGTCCCTCCACGCTGCGCTGCGCTGCGCCCTCCCGATCGATCGAGTCCAGGCAGGAACAGCACCTCGTGCACAGCGGCGAACATGCAGCATCAACAGATTCCCCCGCCGATGCAGTACTCGTCTGCTCAACCGCAATATCCTTCCAACGGCGTACATCCTTCCATCAATACTCGAGGTGGTGGCGAGTACGCCAACGGACAGCAACCCAACGGAGCGGACATGCATCCATACCAGCAGTATCCGCCTTATGGCCAACCAGCTCCGCTGCCGCCTCAACAGCACCCGCAGCACCCACAGCAACACCCACAGCAGCAGCTTCGCGGGCCACCTCCCCCCATGCCGGGACAATACATGCAAAATCAGCTGCCACCTCTGGGAGCGCCGCATATGGGAGCTCCAATGGCGCATATGCCTATCGTAACAGAAGCTCCAAGCTCACAGCGACCTAGCTCTGCTAACCCAGTGCAGCCCCAATATGGTATGCCAGCGCCCCCACCACCCATGCAGCCGCCGCAGCAATCGTCACTGCCGCCTCAACCGGCGCGTCCCAGCAATTTGCTTCCCAACGGCGATAAGAAGATGTCTCACAGCAGCGAACGCGAAGGACTACGCTACAGTCTACAGGTGGTGCAACAGCCTCAAAGAGCGCGCATGTGTGGATTTGGAGACAAGGATCGAAGGCCAATAACACCACCGCCATGTGTCAGACTCGTGATCGTCGATTCCACCACGGGCAAAGAAGTCGGCATGGATGACGGACTCCTTGGTGACCCTTCATTTTACATCCTCCAGGTCGATCTCTGGGCAGAGACTGCGGATCGCGAGGCGAACGTTGTCAGAGCTTCTAGTAACAGCCCTGCTGTGAGCATTTCCAGCGCGACAACTACCTCATATCCCCCTCCAGCAGAAACTCCTCGACCATACGAGACGACCCAGGTGATGTACATAGGCGAAGGAGGTCCTTTTTATGCCTCGGTTCCTATTCATCCTTCCCAGGTGACGAGGCCGGCCTACGGTGGTGGAATGTTCTATGGCCAGATGGGTCAGCCCATAGGGTATCCCGCACCCGCTCAGCAATCGAGCGCGATGTACACTCGCAATCTCATAGGCAGCTTGACTGTGAACGCAGCACGCCTGAGTGACAACGAGGGTAAGCAAGGGTTCTGGTTTGTGCTTCAAGATTTGAGTGTGCGGACAGAGGGCTTCTTCAGGTGAGTCAAATATACAGCAACGTCGTGCACGATAAATGCTGATTTACTGCAGGCTTCGTATGAGCTTTATTGACATTAGCAACCGAGGAGCTCCTGGAGTCAATCGCGGAAGTGCACCAGTATTGGCATGGACGTTTTCGGACAAGTTCCAAGTCTACTCAGCCAAGAAATTTCCTGGTGTGATCGAATCAACGCCGCTGAGCAAGTGCTTTGCTGGCCAAGGAATCAAAATTCCGATCAGGAAAGATAACAAGAACGAGGCCAATGACGATGATGATGGAGATTGAGCGTTGCCCGTGGTAATCTTGGGGCGTAGACCACGAAAAAGGGTGCTTCCGGTCTGGTGTTCCGTGAGTGTTCATGTCTGATGCCACGGACGACACTGTATGAGGGCTCTAAAGCCCATCGAATCGTGCACATGATATAGACATGTGCAGGCCGCGAAGATACGCCGACGTTGAGCAAGGCCAGCGGAGATCGGGCCTGGTGGGGGATGATGAACAAGAGATGGAGGTTGACAGAATCTTGGTTCCAGACCAAAAGTATCGACGACAGTACATTGAGCAAAAGGGTCAGTCACCACAGCTTGGATGATGGCAATTTGTGGTATGCATGAGAGAAGCACTGTTGAGACAATTTCTGGCAGATGCGGAGACTATGCACGTTGGCGACGTTATGATAGGGTTGAACGTACACAGAAGCTATTGAAGCCCCAAATCAATCACATTGGAAACGATTTTGCGTCTGCGTTCGCTTTCGATGTTTTATTTTACGTCTCCTGGTCGTTGCTCGACTAGTACGCCATATTGCTTGGCATCAATAAGCTCGAGCCGTCATGCCCCACATCGAGATCGGCTGCACCTACTTCATCACTTGATCATGCAACTTGGGCAGAGCACGACTCACTTCACGACCAAAGCCCTTCCTCGAGCCATATCGACCGCCCATACCATGCTACGTCCATAGTGCCCGCACAGCGATCAACACCATGATAGCTCGAGCCTCGCCTATACCTTTGTGCGCGAAACATCCAGGCGCCGCCGTCCTTCGTCCGACCTCCACATCGCGATAACCCACGACCGCCGCCATGTTCGAAAAGGACATTTACCAACTCATCCGCGGCCTACGGGCCCACAAAGGCAACGAACGCGAATACATCCAACTCTCCCTCCAAGAATGTCGCAAAGAAATCAAGAGCCAGGACATGGACCAGAAAGCCACAGCGCTCATGAAACTCGTCTATTTGGAAATGTTCGGTCACGATATGTCCTGGGCTTCTTTCCACGTCCTGGAAGTCATGAGTAGTGCGAAATATCTGCAGAAACGAGTGGGATACTTGGCAGCTGTGCAGTCGTTTCGTCCGGATACGGAGGTCCTCATGTTGGCGGAGAATCTGCTGAAGAAGGATGTGCAGAGTTCGGATAAAGTTGTGATTCAACTTCCTTTGGGGGCGATTCCGCATGTGATTAGTCCTTCGATGGCGTGTAGTTTGTTGACGGATCTTTTGCCACGGTTATCGCATTCTTTGCCTGCGATTCGGAAGAAGACGATTGTGACGCTTTATCGATTGGCGCTGGTTTATCCGGAGACACTGAGGCCTGCGTGGCCGAAGATTAAGGAGAGGTTGTTGGATGAGGGCGAAGATCCGAGTGTTACGGCGGCGATTGTGAATGTTGTGTGTGAGTTGGGTTGGAGACGGCCGGCGGATTTTTTGCCTTTGGCTCCGAGGTTGTTTGAGCTGCTTACTGCTGGCGGGAACAATTGGATGGCCATCAAGATTATCAAGTTGTTTTCTGTTCTGACGCCGCTGGAACCGAGGCTGGTCAGGAAGTTGTTGCCGCCGTTGACGAGTATTATCAAGACTACGCCGGCGATGAGCTTGTTGTATGAGTGCATCAATGGCATTATACAAGGTGGAATCATGGAGGCTGCAGAGGGCACAACGGAAGGTGACGAGATTGCGAGGTTGTGTGTGAACAAGCTCAGGGCTATGCTGGTCATCGAAGGAGATCCGAATTTGAGATATGTGGCGCTATTGGCTTTCGTGAAGATTACGAGCAGTCATGCAGATCTGGTGGGACAGCATCAGGATGTCATTCTGGAATGTATCGACGATGCTGATATCTCCATCCGGACAAGAGCACTGGACTTGGTTGTGGGCATGGTAAATGCGAACAACTTACAGACTGTTGTCGAGAGGCTACTGAAACAATTGAGAACTGCTGGAAGAGCCTCGGTGGTAGACGAGCCAGAGAATGACCGGGCTATGCATGACGGGATCGTGCCTATGGCGATGGAAGACGACGATGACATGCAAGCTCCGGCCAACCCTAGGCAGCCCAAGTCGACACAAGCACCTCCTCTTCCAGATGACTACCGGACATTAGTCATTGAGCGGATACTGGAGATGTGCTCGCATGAGAATTATGCGAACATGAACGACTTCGAGTGGTACATCGGCGTCTTACTGGAGCTGGTAAAGCAGTGTCCTTCGACATCAAATATTGCGGATCGCATAGGTGCTGAGCTCCTCAATGTGGCTGTTCGCGTGAAAGCAGTTCGTCCGGAGGCGGCCGCTGCTGCAGAGGCATTGCTGCTCATCGATCAACGTGAAAAGCTGTTCCCAGCTGGGAGCAGCAGTGGTCAAGGCGTTTTGACGTCTGCAGCTTTCATTGCGGGCGAATACGCGAATATGTTGCCTGACCCAGAGTCGGTCCTCACGTCACTGCTACATACTTCCAGCGCCCAGCTACCCGCAGATCCTTTGGCAAGCTATCTACAAGCAGTACCAAAGATCTTTGCCTGCTTGACCGGGAACCAGGAGGTTGCGTGGACCTCAACGAGGAAGAACACTACAACACTGTGGACGTCACGAATCATTCACTTTCTAGAGCCTCTGACCCTGCATCCAAGTCTGGAAGTGCAAGAGCGGGCAGTGGAGTACCTCGATCTCATGCGACTTGCATCGGAAGCTGCCTCGAATCAGCAAACTGACGCAGACGAAGGCTACTCTGAGCCACCACTACTACTGACACAGGCGATTCCGGCACTTTTCTCGGGCATGGACCTCAACCCTGTTGCGGCTTCTGCACTGAGGAATGTACCGAAACCTGAAGACCTTCAGCTCGACGAACCGATAAACAGTAACCTCCAGTACCTCCTCAGCCAGGCGGAATATGACAAAGATTATGAAGATGCCAACGATGAAGTTTACAGATATTACCATGAAAAGCCGTCGGCAGTGGCAACGGCGCTAAGCAGCAGCTCGAGGCCCGCTGCAGAGATGCTGGAACCAGGACCTGAGCGGGCTACTTCATACCAGGATTCTGATGCGGATGTTGATCGAGAGAGCTTGCTGCGCAAGAAAGCAGAGCGGAGGGAACGGTACAAGGATGACCCGTACTACATCGATTCAGAACGCGGCTCTGGCACTTCCACACCGATGCACAACATATTGAAGAACGCGAATGGTGAAGATTTGAACGTGGACGACATCCCAGTCATGGAGCTAAAACTCGACGCACGAGATACTCAGGAGCGAGGACGAGCTTCTCCTCAACCTGCGGCGAGAAGAAAGCCGAAGAAACATTTCGAGGTCGCTGCAGATGAGACGCTGGGCGGCGATAACGGCACACCACCTTCATTCTCATCAAGTCCTGCGAAGAATCCTTTCAATCTCACAGCATCTCGAGGTCCGAAATCTTTGCTGCAAGTCGACAGCAGTGGGTTGTCCTCTCTCTCCCTGAACGACGAGCCTGGTCCCGCGAATGGTCTGCACAGCCGACATGACTTCGAGCGCCGACAAGCTGAAGAAGAAGAAATGCAACGCGCGATCAAGGAAGTTGAAAGACTGAGACTTGAACTTCAGCGAAAGCAAGAAATGATCGGTGAACCGGATGATGAAGGGGGGATGGTTGTTAAGAGGAAGAAGACGAAGAAGAAGGCTGTTGTTGCGTTGCAGGGGGATGATGAAGAGCAGAGTGTTGCTACAGCAGAAAATTTAGAAGGTGAACAGGTCGTGAAGAAGAAACGGAAGAAGAAGAAGTTACAGGATGTGGGGCAGGATGTGGTCGGCGAAGAGAAGACCGTTGTTGGAGAGGAGCAAGAAGGCGAAGCGAAACCTGTGGTTAAGGTAAAACGGAAGAAGAAACGGCAGGTTGATTTAGGGTAGTAGTGGCTAGGTGAAATAAGATGAATATGAGTACTGAAATCCACCAACTGCCCAGATCAGTGAGCATGTCTTTAAGACCACCAGCAATGGCACGCACAAGATGAAATGAGAGGCTGGCACTTCCTCAAAGCACAATGTGGATATTCCACGTGCGGCAGACACACGAGTTTCAGGAAAACTTCGTCACAATTCGTCGTGATCATTGATTCATGCTACATTATTTTCATGCTGTTTTCTCGTCATCTGGTCTGCATGTCAATCTACACATGCGAATGTCGCACATCATCTTCTATGCATTTTTGCGCTGCTGTCACTTCCACGCTTTCACAGCCTACAACTGCAGATCCTGCTCCAGCAAAAGCTGCCTCGAACTACTCCCCACATAAACCTTCTTCTGATTCTCCGTCCTCACAACCCAGTCCTGTCTCGCCGAATCCCAATTCGAAAGATCCCGTCTCGTCAAATGGAAGTCGACAGTAACAGTCTTGCCCGCAGGGATATTAACTCGTTCGAAGCCGCGAAGCACGACTTTGGGATCGTAAGGTCCGCCGAGAGAGACGTAAAGTTGAGCGACTTCGTCTCCGTCGCGGTCGCCGGTGTTGGTGATGTCCACGGAGACGACGAAAAGGATATCCCAAAGCGATGGGTTACCGCCTGGTGCGCCGCCTGCTGGGAGAAGTGGTTGGGCGGTGCCTTCGAGACTGCCTGAGGGGATGAAGCTGTTGTCGCCGAAGTCGTTGTGGCCGTAGGATTCTTCGAGGTTGGAGGAGTTGAGGTAGGGATAGATGAAGTAGGGAACTCGGGTAAAGTTTTCGCTTGGGAAGACGTGGGCGGCTGGGTCCATGTCGACTGTGCCGAAAGTCGGTGCTTCTTGTGTTGAGCCGGATTGTGGAACGTAGGGACCAGCTCCGGTATCTCTGACCTCGATGTTGCTGTAGTTGAAAGTTGTGTATGACAGACCGAACCCGAATTCGTAAACAGGCTCAATGCCTCTCTGGTCGAAAGTCCTGTAGTCGATGAAGTTTCCTTCCTCGAAATCGAATTGTGGCGGGTCGCCATTGATGTAGTATAGTACATCAGTGCCGTAATCGGATCTGTTGCGACCGATGGTGTATGGAAGCTTAGCACCAGGGTTGACTCGTCCGTACAGGACGTCAGCCAAAGAGTTGCCGCTCTGCTCGCCAGGCATGCCAGCCCAAAGAATGGCAGTAACGTTAGGATGGTCCTTGTATTCCTCCACTTCGACGGCGCCGGGCGAGTGGACAACAAGAACAGTGTTGTTGCAGTTGGCAGTAACATTGCGCAACATCTGATTGGCGCCCTGCCAGAAGGTGAGATTGTTGCGGTCTCCGTAGTTGCTGTCTGGTGCAACGAAACCCTCACCAGCGTTTGCTGCTCCGAATGCAATGCAGACGCCACCGACTTGACCCGCACGTCTGGCCAGCGCCTGGATTTGTGGAAGAGCGCCGTTGCTGAGGATAGACTCGTACGCGCCGTAGTGATCAGTAACCTCTCGCTGGATTGCAGCGTCTGGAGTAATGAGGTATGGAAATTCAGCAGTACCACTGCCCCAACCAATGGCAACAGTTCCCTGCGCGCATGCCCTATTAGAACACCCGTTGGGTCCTGCGAGGTTGGGGCCAGCGTCGTCTCCAAACACAGTTGTCAGCTTCTCCTTTCCAGTAAGGGGAAGGGTGTGGTTGACATTCTTCAGCAGCACAGTCGACGCACTTCCGATCTGGCGAATCAACCTTCCGTGTTCCTTACGAACATCGACGTGGTCATTGATCAGCTCGTATCCGTACTGTGGACCAGCATATCGGTGGACGGCACCATATGTGTCCTTCGTCCAGGAGTTGAAGTTCGTCGGCTTGTTGTTCTCTTCACTGTCGCCATCGACATAGTACCATCCTGCGAGGACACGAACGACCATGTCGTCGAGTCTCCATTGTGGCACAGTACCGTTCAAGACGGCAATAGTCAGGTTTGGTCCAAAGTATGAGAGTCCATCGTTGAAGACAATGTCGCCAGGCATCGACACGTCCAGACCAGCGAGGATCGCAGACACTCCGGAATGAGTGGCTTGCCAGTCGCTGACAATGAAGCCTTGAAAGCCGAGCTCATTTTTTAAGACGTAGTTCTGTAGGTACGAGTTCTGGCAACCATCGGAGTTGTTGATGCGGTTGTACTACTCTTTTGTTAGTTCCCCAGATGCCAAGATGTACACAGACTTGAGGATACGTACTGAGCACATGATCGATGCGAGTCCGGCGCGAACGCCGTCAGCGAAAGGCCAAGCGTACAATTCGTGGAGCGTCACGTCGTCAATGTTGCTGGATCCCGGGTAGGTGATGTTGGCGAGCCCGAAACCTGAGGTTTCAGGTGTCTGTCGGAAATGCTCCTGCTCGTTGCCAATGTAATGCTTGCCGACTGCGATTTGTCCCGTTGATTGGACACCCTTGATAGACTCTGCAAAAAGCGCACCAGTCAGGTAAGGATCGGGACTGAAGCCCTCCTGTTGTACACAGTCAGTCTCAGTTCATGCATACGATAAGGCCACGATCATACCCAATTACGGCCGCCTGCTGGCGAACGCCCAATAGGACCAGCAACAGGACCAAGGAATCCATTGACACCTTTGTCGCGGAACTCTTCGGCCATTGCCACACCTCTGGCGTGCGCTAGAGCTTTGCTCCAAGTCGCACCAACGTTGACGCCAGATGGGAACACAGATACGAAATCAGTGTAACGCATGCCGGTAGGCGAGTCCTGGAAACATAGCGATCGAATGCCAAGGCGGGGCACAGATCCAGTGTTGCCTACGCACTCTTCTGACTGCCATCCACTGCCTTGAAATTGTTAGCTGAAGAATGCACGGCAGAAATGGGCGGCTTGCCTGTGGTAATGTTGACCTTCTCCTCGAGAGTCAGCTGGGAAACGATCTCAGTTGCCGTCTTGTATGCTGCCTCCCAGTCGCCCAGGCCACTGCTCCATGGCGAGGGGTACTTGGGTGGAGATGTCTGGTTTGACCGTGTGCCTTCTGCAACAGCCGGGTCTGGCGATATAGCATCTGGATATGTAGTATCTGGGAACTGTCGCGCGTCAGCTATTTCATCTTCGTCTCGGTGAATCCTTTCCTTGACCTACAGGTGCGGTATCATTGCCTTCTTGAGCTAAACTGCCAGCAACGGCGGCCAGAACGGCGCCGAGCACGGCTTTGGACAACATGATGCGAAAGTCGATGCTGTTGTCAAGGCTGCATCAGAAGAACAGAAGGAGTCTCACCGCGTTGCGGCGGCACAGTCGGTTCTATAAGATCGAAAGGAGCGCAATCGGCGAGGGCAGCACAGGCTGAATGAGTGACGGCTTACACGAGCATGACTGCGCCGAGCCGCGAAGGAAAGAGCGAGCGTTGCCATGTCATTGGAACGGCAAGTGATCGGCACGCCGTTTTGGGAGCGGAAGCAACGCCCTGCCCGCTTCATCAATGCTTCATCGCACCGAAGGAGGCCAATCCATCGACTGCGCGTGGAGAAGAGGATGCTGATGCATCGTAGTGCTCACACCGCGCAGTCTTCCCGCCATCTTCTTCTCCGCAACATCCACCTCCCGACTTCTTGGCTGTGGGGACTGGTGGAGCTCTTCAAATATGGGAAGGACATACGGTCCGAAGTGCCGCCTATACAGGACATAGAGGCCTCCGATCGCCGGCTTGACTTCACGCTCTCGAGGGATGGGCTGTTTCTCCAATATTGGGCATGTTACTCCAGCGCTGCCATGGAAAGAGGTGCCCATGGAGTGACTCTGCCGTCGACCTACAGCTGTGCCGTGAGAAGAGGCGCGAAGGGCTCTGGCATCGCCCAAACCTCATCGTTTTCCATGTCCATCTGGATCTTGACCACGCCGAAGCCTTGACGATAGCGACGAGTGTATTTTCTGGAGTGCCCAATTCAAACATCGACCACACAGGCAGAGGAACGGTGCTGATTGATGATGGAAGGCAATCCTCTGCTTACGCTGAATTTCCTGTTCTCCGCATCCAAAAGGTTGAATGATGGAACGTCTTTCTAGCCAGCTGGCCAGACACCTGAACACTTCTCGATTGGACGAAGCGCTGGATCATCTTACCATTGTAAGAGCTCCCACGTTAGAACCAGTGTTCGTGCTCTCTCGCGTCGAGTTCCAAGCATCGCTCTAATGACTGGCAATCGCTTGGGCCAACTTCAATTCATCGATCTGGGCGTACCTTTATTGCGGATATGCAGCTCATCGTCTTCCCTACAACCAAAGATGGAGCATGCCATCGTCATACGTCGTGTTACGCGCTGGACACCATCTCTCAGTCGAGAAATCATCGGCAGCTTTGCCATGCGCTTTCTCGATGTCTGCTAGTGTAGCAGTCGATGCTATGAAAGAGCACGATTTCAAACAGCCCCGAGAGTAAGTCTTTCTTCCACTACCGTTCTCAAGCAGTCACTACGCGACCATGCATTGCAAGTTTCTCCCCACGTTGCTGGCTTTTCTGAGCTGCGCAAACTGTACCTTCGCAGCGTATCCCAAATATGGAGAGTGCAACAGCGACCCATATTCTGCCTATTCATCACTTGCGAACTATGGTCCTGCTGTCGAATATTGCAATACCAAGTATCCGCCGACAGTTGTCTACGCTCAAGTGAAGAAGATTCGCCGCGAAGAGCCGGACGCCGATCATACTGCTCAGGCGGGTGGCTATGGATATGGCCACAGTGAATCCGGACTTTGGGACAAACTGCGCAACGACGAGGATCATCTGCGCACCTTCTGCTCTTGCCTCGGATATCCAAAGACTACTACACATTCCCAGCCCAAGACGTATGTTCCGGTCGTCTATCCTCCGACCTCAAAGACTACGAAGGCAGGCTCAACGACAAAGGCAACATCGACTCTGACTACGAGCACTGGGAGCAGAAGCACGTCTCAAAGCACAAGCAATCCCATCGAGACCACGACGTCGGGTTCTACGACGGAAGCAACAACAACTCGAACTACGAGCACCCAAAGCACATCAGGTCAGACCACAAGCACAGCAGCTCAAAGCACAAGCACGTCCGCTCAGACACCATCCACGAGCACAACCACTCAAACTCAATCCACAAGCACGTCCACTCAGAGTCAAGTCACAAGCACAATCACTCAGACTCAAGACACGTCATCTCAGACCAGCACCACCTCATCAACCAGTATAGCTTCTACGAGCACGTCTGGCAGCACTACAACATCTGCTGCCTCCACCACTAGCTCTCAGAGCACCACCACCTCTACTGAGAGCACTTCAACTTCTATGAGTACTACGACCTCAGCTGGAAGCACGACCTCTGCTGAAAGCACGACTACTACTGAGAGCACCACAACCTCTCAGAGCACTACTACCTCTCAGAGCACGACCACTCCTGCTGAGAGCACGACGACTACTACCGATAGCACAACGGTAGGTCGAGACAATCAGATGCTTTGACTATTCGCTGATATCTGCTGACTGCTCTTAGACGCTGAGCACGACGAGTAGCTCTACAACGACAGAGACCACCACTACCGTGAGTTCAAAAGCCTGCGAGCAATTTTGATCGGTTTGGTTATGTGCTAATTGGTTCCAGACGCTGAGTACGACAACGACAACCTCTTCAACGGAGGATGCTACAACGACGGTAAGTTTGCGTGTGCATCTTCATAAGATCTCTGAGAACTGCACGAGACTTGACCCGGCCCTTCCCCGCATTCGCCCCGGAGCTCTTTAACAGACAAAGGGCCTTCTATTTGTGCTGTCTGATGACACTGACGCACGGTGCAGACGACCACCAGTGATGCCTCGACGACTACTACCGACTCAACAACGACCAGCGATTCCACAACGGTGAGTTCAGAGCCCTGCCACTTGCTCTGATGGCACTGACGCAGAAGACAGACGACTACAACGACCAGTGAGACCTCGACATCGACAACGACCAGTGACTCCACAACGGTCAGCCAAAGAGCCTGCCATTTGTTCTCATAATGCTGACGCAACAGTTAGACTACCAGTGAGACTTCGACTTCGACAACGACCAGTGACTCAATAACAGTAAGCTCACGAGCCTGCCATTTATTCTCATTACGCTAACGCAGAAGCTAGACGACCACAACGAGCAGTGATTCAACGACAGTGGGTTCAACAGCCTGCCATTTGTTTCCATGACGCTGACGCAAAAGCTAGACTACTACCAGTGATTCAACAACGGTAAGTTAAAGAGCCTGCCATTTGTTCTCATTACGCTAACGCAAAAGCTAGACGACCACCAGTGAGACTACGACCACCACAGCCTCTACTACTACAACAACCACTACTTCCGCTCCCCCAGCAGAAGGGTAAGTCGCAGAAAGAACATCTATTCCACCCCTCGGCCCAAGCTTCCGCAAAGATCCTAGACTCCAAAGCTGACACTGACCCCCCCCTACAGAACTCCACGTCCCTGCACCACCGACGCTGACTGTCCTAATGGAGGGGTTAACAGCTTCGGTTGCTTTTGTTACGAGACGACGACGGGCCAGTCAAACTGTATTGATGTTACTAATGGCTGTGGACAGGATTGCGGTTCCGCAGCCGATTGCCCCTTCGGTCAAGTTTGCCTTACGGGGACCATCTGTAACAATGGAAATACTTGCATCGATTACACGAATTGCAACAATCCGGATACGCCCTCTCGACTGTTCAAGAGAGGTGTTCCGAGGGTTCAGAGGCGTGGCTAGACAGAAGTTACTTGGTGGTGATGGTGGAATGGTTTGAGGAAATGGCGAATGCTCGTGTCGCGTGAAGAAGGGTTCGAATGGCCCGGTTCAGACAATCGAGCCACGCAGTGACATTCGCAAGACTTCAGGACCTGTTGTTTTGAGCTGAAGGAGAGGAGACAGACTGGATATGTATACGATCTACAACTATACCAAAACTAATAATAATACCTCAGGCGTTCGGGAATTCCTCCTCTCGTCGCCTATTTTCTCTCTCCTTCTTCTCTCCCAGATTTGAGGCCGCCAAACGCCACGCCATGAGTAGCGCATCCAAGAGTCCCAAGACCATAAACCTACACACGTGATGAGGCCAAACCTAGCAACTGCCAAGGCACTTGGTCGATTCCTCAACTAGTTTCTCAGAAAAAGACCTCACTAACCCTAGAGCAGGCATCGTACGAGCAATGGCTGAGCGCGAGACGCGCCTCTCGCTTAACGATTCTAAAGACCACCGCTCATACGATGCGTACTTTGCCATGTCTTCGCACGCGAGCGCCTCAAACGCCTTGCAATGAATGCCCGCATGTTTGGCAGGTCTAGCGTCGAATGCCATGCAGTGCATAGGTTGCCAGTCGCCCCAGCGTAGCGTAAGTTGTTCCCCTTCGCACTGTGTACAACCACGTTTCCAAAGGCGACCATGCCTTCCCCATTCCTCTCCCTCCTACTAGCCTGCCTCACCTGGACAACCTGCACCTCCGCAATCTACCCCAACAACAAACCTGCACGCATCTGTAACTCTGCTCCTTATTCAGGCTACTCCTCCCTCTCGAATTATAATCCCGCAATCGAATACTGCAAAGCGAAATACCCGCCAAAATGCGTTTATACTACTGTGACTGTGAAGAAGACGAAGACCGTCACTATTACTTCGACGAAAAGTAGTGGTGGATATTATGGTTATCAACAGCAGCCTCGAGATGCGGTTGCGGAAGCTGAGGCGAATGGTTATGGTTCTGGGTATAAGGATAAGGGTTATGCGAAATCTTGGGAGGAATTGAAAAAGAAAAAGCGTCATTTGCATACTTTTTGCTCTTGTTTGGGGTATCCGAAGACGACGACGAAGACGAAGACGAAGATTAAGACTTGGACGAGGACGGTGTATGTTCCGAAGGGTACTACGGCTACGACGACGACGACGAAGGAGATGGGTAGTACTAGTACTTCTGCTTCTACTTCTACGTCCACTTCTTCGACCACGACTGCTCAGGACACTGTGAGTGTCGTGTTCTTCTGACCTTGATCTCAGACTAGCGATAGCAGATCGGAAATGTGGCTAATCGATGATCAGACTTCGTCTACTACTTCCGGTAGTACGACGGCCTCGAGCACGACAGCCTCGAGCACTACTACCAGCTCCACAAATACTTCTGTGAGTTGAAAAACCTGCCTTTACTGACAATAGCGCTAATGCAACCTCAGACAACCTCTTCCTCTATTACAACAACCACCAGTAGTACTACATCCACGAGTACCACATCGATGACGACCACTACCACTGCTCCCACTCGAGCGTAAGTCCCTCACCCACCCAACTCCCCACCAAACAAGACCCCCTTCTAACCCCCCTTCCCCTCACCAGAACCCCTCGCCCCTGCAGCCCAGACTTCGACGACTGTTCGCGCCAGCCCCCCAACGTCGAAGCCTGCGACTGTGTCCTAGTCGCAGAGGACCCGAGCAGCGCCGTATGTGCCCAAGCTACCATTGAATGCGGCGCAGCATGTGACACCACGGAAGATTGCGACCTGGACGAAGTTTGCACTGTGAATGGGCTTTGCAATGATGGGACGTCTTGTGATAATGTTACGAATTGTAATAGGCCGAATGATCCGCGGAGGATGTTTAGGAGGAGGGATGTTACGATGAGGGGGCTGAGGAGGCGGTAGGTGGGTGTCGTTGGATTGGAGGTGAGGAGGCGAGGGTGTTGGTGAGGCCATGTCAACATCCAGGAGAGCCCAGATCGTGTCGCATAGACGCCAGTCCGTCATTTCGATTGAGATGTTAGAGCCGAGAAAGCACAGTCGCAAGCATTGTCTTCTTCCACGCTGATCGTGTCACAGTGAGCACCATAATAAAACAGTCCAATCCTTGATCTGTGCACGGCTTTCCATTGTATTCATTGCGTTTGTTATGCCATGTGTGAAAGCTCGAGCCTTCTATCGTGGAGACGTCTGTGTAAAGGCGGTTGAGATGCTCGAATGTCTTTCATCACTTCATTCTCCAACCTCTTTGTGATACTTGAGACCAGTGCGATAGCGCCGTTCTGGTGCGTGACGCCACTCTCGAGCGTAGGCTTCTTCGTATTCTCGTTGTGCTTGTTGCAGCCAGTCCAGGTCTCCATTTGGATCGTTACGCTTGAGTAGGAATTGAGCGCGGAGCAGCAGCTTCTTCAAAAGTCTATGCGTCGAGGGACTATTGAAGGATGCAAAGACATGTTGTACACGAAGGCCTCCATCGTCGCCCTTCAGCAGGCGTATGAAAGGCTGAGCATCCGGGCGCGTGGGATGCCAAAGGTGTAATCGGCAGGCAGCGAATTGTGGTGGTCGCTTCCATCTTAGGCACCATTCCGTAAACTCGATGAAGCTCTCGTACAAACGTACGTTGGTGCTACTGCAATCTGCGACGCCGATAGCGCTAATGATTGCGATCACGGCTGGCCATGGAGATACCTTGCCGAGCAGAGAACCATCCGAAAACGCTTGCCTTCGAGTCTGGATCTCCAACAGTCTCGAAATAGCGGCGTCAAGGCAAATAGACCTGTTTCCCGCGAACGTAAGCTCTGCCATGATCAAAGCTCGCCAGAGTGGAATGCAATGCGGCAGTGATGAGATAGAGTCGATGGAGGCATTGTTCATGTCAATGGGAGAGGAGAGTTTCGGAGAGGCCACCGGCGCGAAGTCACAAGCCCCACCCCCACCCGATCGCTTGGCATTGGAACTTCTCGTCTACATTCTCGCGTGTCCACAATCTCAACATCCTTTCCCTCTACATTATGGCAACCGCGACCCCGTTCGCGCTCTGTGCTCAATTCCGAGAAATGGCTCGCGAAGAGGATTGCCGCAAAGCAGAAGGAGAAAGCATCGAGAATGGCAGACGAGCACCGATTCGCGCAAAGTCACGTCTGCCGACCCTGCGATCCCATGGTGAGCGCCGCTCTTCTCGATCGCTCGACAACACCAATGGATGCGTTCGACGAAAGCGTACGGCGGGGCACAGCCACCGCCGCCACCGCGGATGCATGTCTACGTGCATTCGATGCCCAAATCTCGAGCATGAGCTGGTCTGAAGCTGTCCAGGCAACGGAGAGCGTCGCGCCCGCGAGACGGCTTCTGCTGTGGTTATGGTCCCCGACTTTGACACAGCAAGATGTGCTCGACTTCTTCTCCTCGTCATCCTCCCTGTGGCTCTTGGTCTGCAATGCTCAACTGGAAGGGAATGCAGAGCTCTTGTGGGAATGGATGACCGTTGACGCCGGTGTGTTCGACGCCGGTACGCACTTAACAAACTATACCTGGCGTGGGACTTTACATCGATCCATGATCACCACAAAGCTTTTCTTGCTGACAATGCAGAAGAGCACACGAGCAGATCAAGCGATCGATCTGGTCTTTACCCTCGGAGCACTGAAACTGGACCATCCCAATCATGCGCCGCTGAAATGGACCTCCCTGTACCCTGGGTTCACTGTTCTTATCCCGAATATGTGCTCGCCTTACTGGCCAGATACCAGTCCCACGACCTATGAAAGACTCGGAGATCTGGTGGCTCGGTATGTGAAGGATGGAAATGCCAAAAATTCCCTGATTCCCGGCGTCAACCACGGAGACGTATTATTAGCACGACTGGGCCTGTGGCGGCCACGGAATCCAAGCCCTGATCAAGCCAGAAGAGTATTGCGCACTTGTGCGGAGTCGACAGAAGATCTCGCGGCAGGTTTGACAGCAGAGGGGCAAAGACTCATCTACAACTTGGCCAGAACATCTGTAGCCTGCCTCCGAAAGCTTGGGCGGCACTCGGAATGTGAAGAAATAGCGAAGATTGGCACGTCATACGGCGTGGGTCGAGTGAAGAATCGTGCTGTCGTTACTGGTCTTCTGCCTTCGACGCAGGGTAATTGTTCACGGCATTGACCACCTCCAAGGCCCGCGAAGGCGTAGAGACGCCGTGTCGCGCCATCAGTCAATCTCTGAGGTTGACAAGCAGGGGCCGGAAGACAGAGCTTGGACGAACAGAGCCATGCAGTCGTCAGAAAGCGTATGTTTCTCTCAAAAGGCCAAGGTAGCGCAGTCAAATCGCTGAGGTCCAATCGAGATACAATCATCTTCTGACTGCGGAGGTTACCGAGCTCAAGCCAGGAAATGGCTTTTGGCATGCGTCGCAACTGAGAATGATTCATGGCCATGCTTCTGGCTAGCGGCAAATCAGCCCTGCATATTCTGCTGGCCACTGCAATGGAAATGAAACAGACATACTATTTTGATCGTCCGAGCAGATTATCTGGCTTCTGCATTTAAATGGCGCGTTGGAGCTGCTGTGTCAGCTTTGGTGCCATCCACAAAGAGGGCCAGACCTGTGCCATCACGTACTCTTGCATTTGATAAGGTCTCGTTACCTGCTCAAGATATGCTCGTTGAGCAGCTGTGTGTGCAAGTTCCTGATCGGGCTCACAGACCGAAGATCGCGACCAAGCTCGTTGATGACAAGTAAAAGGCGGCGCTCGACTATCACTTTTGTCGGAGATTCAAATCGCCCTTTGGGTACACTCTCGTGCCGGAGGCGAGCAAATTGCAATTCATTGTGTTCGCTACGACTTATTACGCCGCTGCGAAAAGAGCAAGATTGCTAGCCCCATTTTCTCTCGCCAAACGCTTCACGTCGGCTTCCTCCAACTCATCGAAGACATTCCAGCCCCATCTTGCGGGAAAGTTGTATCGATGATGCTTCTCCAAAGAAGTCACCGCGTCGAAAACCTCTGGCGAGAGCTCTGTGATTTTGAAGTTCGATTCTATCCGACTCTTCGTCACACTCTTCGGCAAAACGACAGTTCCCCTCTGCACCGCCCAGCTGACCAGTAGCTGGCCGACATCGAGTCCGGCTTTCTTTGCGAGAGCTTGCACGCGTGGATCGTCGATGCAACGAGGAGAATTTGTCTCGTTGTTCCCCAGAGGACTGTATGCTTGAACAAGAATGCCGTTTGTCTTGCAGTACTTCAACAAGTCTGGCTGCTGGAGATAGGGATGTGCTTCGATCTGGTTCACGGCTGGCACGACTTTGCTCTTCGACAGCAGATCTTCAAGGAGCCGAATACTGAAGTTCGATACGCCGATCGCTCTTGTCTTTCCAGTAGCAAGGAGTCGTTCCATCGCAGCCCAGGTGTCCGAGAGTGGAATATTTCCCAAAACGAATAAGCCATCTGCATCCAATGGCATAGGATTCTCACCGGATTTGAAGACCCTGTGACATACAATCAGTCTTCTCCGACCAAGAACTGGTCTTTGTGTTTTACCTACACCGGCCAATGTACCAGATACAAATCCACATAATCCGTTCCAAGGTCCTTCAAAGTCCGATCAAGCGCGGCTTCAACATCATCCGGATGATGCTTGTTATTCCACAATTTGCTCGTAATGAAAACGTCCTCTCGCGCAGTTCCCGAAGCTTTCAATCCTCGCCCGACGGCATCTTCATTTCCGTAGATCGAAGCACAATCTAAGTGTCGATATCCGGCTTTCAGTGCTGTTTGAACAGCAATTTCGACCTCAGCTGGCGGCGCCTGGAACGTCCCGAACCCAACGGATGGGATCGAAGTTCCAGTGTTGAGTTGAAAGGAAGTTGGAAGAGGCATGGTGTCAGGGTTTGGGTAGTGGGCTATTGGGAGGAGGAAGTGTCTGACATTGTGGGCGCCGAAGAGTATTCAAGTACCATATGTTCAAGGTAACGCTAAATTCCGCACATCACCTGCCATTCTCGCTCACTGGCTCCGGATCAATTCGTGGCACGCGGGGAGTACTCATCCTGATTGGGCCCGGCTGTGGTAAACGAACCTTCCACTTCAGTCAAGCTTGCTGTTGCTAGCGCCTCTTCATCCCACGAGCAATGCCCTGAAGAAGAGAGGAACCAGTGCAGCCGGCTCCGAAAGCGATGCATGAACGGGTGAATCCTCCAAGCCGTATTTCCACATTTTGGCGTCGAGTAAACTGCTCTTTTGTTCAGACGGGAGAATTAGATTTGCCGTACTGGTATATTCTTACCTCCTACAACAAGCAACTCGATCTGAGGCTGACAACCAATCAGGACCAGGTAAGTTGAACGTAGTACTGCACGAGTTCACGACACTGAGACACTGAGATCTGCCTTACGGGCGTCCTTTACCTCGAAATTCGCATACGTGTTTGTATCAAGCCAGCTCCTGCCATATCCGGTATCGTACATTCATCTCGACCGCTCACACCGAGTTGTAAGTGATATGTTGGTACTGCTTATGCACAGCTTTGACTTCGCGACGAGCGACACTCGTCCTCTTCGTCAGGCTCTGGCCAGCGGAATCAAGCTCAACACATCCGTCCACATTCGCAACTTCACAAAGTTGTGAAAGTTGCTTGGACTCCATGTCGCAGAACTTGCCATCTGCTCCCACGAAGTCTGGTCCCCACGAAGTTTTGGAGCTGCAGAGAAGTTCGGCATCCTCGCCCGTAATGTTCGATACGACGAGGCGGTCTAGAATCCATTGCGGGCGAGGAACATCGACTGAACGCTTTGCTGGTTCACCTGTAGGTCGTCAGCGTACTCATATTCGAAGCGGATGAAGAACATACCTGGAATCGGCGCAGTGGTTCGTGAGAAGATGGTTGAGTTGCACTGTCTATCATTGGAGACGGTTTCTTCGGCCTCTGCTCCATATGCTCTTACTCGGAATTTCATGCCGGCGCTCAGCGTGCCATCCGTGAAGTCAGAGTCAAACCAGGTGCCTACATATCCAGACCGTAAGCACTGGGATACTGGTGAGCTGCAATTCACGTTCCGGACTTACATCGAGGCATATAAGTATCCCCATTCGGCAATCTCCCAGCTGACTGGCCGCCCATATACCATCGCTGACCACATTCAGCACCAACATCTCCCGTCCAGACGTTCCCTGGTGAGTTGTCCACCTGCGAGACTTTGATCCACGAGATGCATGTCCCATCATCGCTGTTCCCGAGGCTGATGTATTCGGCCAGCTTTGCAGGATTGTCTTGACCTATCGTAAACGCATCATATGCGCCTTCGTCTAGTTTGCCGCCATCAGACTGGCCAATGAGGGAGTTGGAGCCATCGAAGGCCCAGATAGATTGTATGCGGCCTCCCTGAACAAATGTAAGCGCATGACAGGTTGCTGAAGCATGGTCCGCATACCAGATCATTCACATCGTTCCCGATTGGTGCGTAGCCAGCTCTGATTTGCACGGAAATGCCTGGGCGTGATTGTGGGGAGCCACCCGCCGAAAAGCCAACGATTGTCAGGATACCGTTGAAGAGTCCGATGGCGTTAAGCATGGCTAGGGATGTGTGAGCTGCAGGGCTAGAAAGGAATGATGTGTGTGTTGTGCTATACTTTTGAAGAAGATGAAATATCAGGGACGTGCAAGAGGTGGAAACGACGTGTGCCTCTCATGCACCTGATGAAACCGACTCTGCTCAGCCGAACATGGTGATGGTGCATGGGTGTTCACGCCCGTGCTTGGCTGACATCGAGGGCTCCCATTGCCCACTTTTTCCTGCAATGATCGTCTCCTTCGCATTGATCCCAGGTCGTTGTTGGCTCCCGAAGCCGGAAAAAGTACTTTGGCATTTGATCACATTCGAAACCGCCGATTGCTCTGCCGTCAACACAGACTGGAGTGGCTCATGCTCCATCAGCCTTGCCAGTGGTCAACAATACCTTTGCGGCGTGGTCACAGAGACAATGTCGGTGGATGCGGCGCAGTATCTGTGGATACAATGGGTCCGCCGAGGCACTAAACTTATGCATGTTGGGCTCAGGTGCTGTGCCACCTTGGCTGAAAAAACTGCAACATGGCGAATCGCTCACTATTTTCGCAGATCAATATTGCTTCACAACAATCCTACCGCCGATCGATGATGCATTCGTTCAACGTCCTACTTCGACCTGTCGCCACGAAAGCTCCAGAGCAAAGCCCGCGACAGGCAAAGGAGACCAGAGACTGCGGCGCGTCTATGGAACGGCGACTGGCTGCTCCAGGTCATACCGGCGTTTGAGAATTGCAATGATTCGTGAGGCGCGTCATATGACACTGCTGAGCTGCAGCTGGAAGCCAGAGACACCTGTGAGCATGCTGTCCCCGTGCACGCGCCCCAGAACGGTATGGCGGATTTTCGCTGGCGAAGCATGTGGTCGATCGTGCTAAAAGGGTGAGTCCGGCTGTGACTCTAGGCCATTGACTACCAGGCCCAATGTAGTGATTCCTCAAAGGTTTGTGCTGCGATGGGAAAGGAAGATTGCAAGGAGAAGGGAGGCCCGGAGAGGATAGGGTAGAGGTGGAGGTGGAGTGCCGATTGCCAAGGCGGAGACGTGGAGACGGCCCGTCACCCTTGCAAGGCCAATCAGAAAGCGCTTGCCTCGAGGCGCAATGAAATCGCATACAGCGACTTTCTACACCGGAATCATCTCAAATACCTTCCAGCGCAATCACAGTCTTCATCACTAGACCCGTTGTGATTACTGATCCAACCAGTGGCCAACAATAGCGGCTTGTCTGTCTCACCACTGAGCTTGCTGTTTTCGAGGCATGGCCTATCTCTCACAACTCCTCATTCCCAATAGGCGGCATGCGACCATATTAGACCCACCCAGAAGATCCCAAGCCGCAATGTGGACATGGTACCGGCGCTTATAGACCGGTGTAGCTTGCACCGCCCATAACTAAGAACCACCAAGCCGCGTATACTAAGTAAGGATGAACATGCATGTCCACAATGAGGTTCCACTCGTCAGTGATGCAATCAGTATAGATATTGCTGTGCCGCAATTCCTATTCCAGGTTGCAGGCATTTCCACTGAACGTCCAACAGTTCATACCCCAAGCTTAATCAGCACACAGTAAACGACCATGAAAAGAGCTCTATCAATCGCTGCCATTGGCATATCAACCTTAGCGGTCCAGGCTCAGTTTTCCTCGTGAGGCACTTCGAACGCAAATTGAACTGCATAGCACTGACCCTTACTTCCCAGACAACCCCAAAACCTAACAATCTCATTCTCTCCCGACGACGCACCACACGACTGTTCAGCAGCACCAGACCCCCGCACAATCTCCTTCTCCACAAACATGGCCCCAAGCGATGGCATCTGCTTCAACCTCGAAGACCTCTTCGCCTCCAACAACACCCTCAACAGCACCGGTTACTACAACTACACCGGAAACCTCTACGCCGTGCCCTGGCCAATTTCCTACTCCTTGACGAACATCGAAGCCTTCGACGCAAGTGCCAACTACTCCAACATCCGGTACCAACAAACCAACGCGACAGGTAATGGTGAAAGCGGGAGCGGAGACGCGGTGATTGCTTTGCAAATTTATCCTGCTCGGAATTGTAGGGATGCGCCGCCAGAAGCACCGCTGTCGGCGTTTTATGGCTGGAGTTGTCAGAGTGAAGAAGAGGGACAGTGTCGGACGGCTGAATACTCTGTGAAGAGTATCATGATTAGCGATGCATCATCGATTAATGCGAGAGAATGGCAAGATAAGTGTTGGGATTTTGCGCAGGGAGGTGGCGCGAATGGGTTGGAGAGAAGTAGTGTTTGGATGCTATTGCTTGGCTCTGTTGCTGCGGCATTGATGGCTGCGTGAGATAGAGGACTCACAAGCTTGCGATTGGAGATGACTCAATTTGCGATCCTCAGAGAGAAGATATGAGACCCGGCACAACAATCGCGGAAGCCATCTCTCTCTCTCTCTCGCTGACAGCGTGATATTTCTGCTAAAAGCAGGAACAGTGCTCAATCTCAAAACCCATCTGTCAGTCGCACACTGTCACAATCCATCCGCCCTAAACCTTCTCCGCAAACACGTCCCCCTTAACCTTCTTCTCCCTCTCCAAATCACTCCCCTCCAAAATCTCCTCCACAACCGCACTTCCCGGCCCCTCCACAACTGCAACATCCACCCCCATCGCATCAATCGGCGCGCGATAGCTCTCGACAAAATTGACACACCACCCAAAACTCCACGCCAGAACAAAGAAGAACAACGGCACACTCATCGCATAAGCCGTATTGCTCCCCCTAATATCCGACACCGCCCCCAAAATCGGCGGTACAACAGCTCCACCAATAACACCCGCAATAATAAACCCAGACCCCTGTTTACTATGTCTTCCCAAACCCTTCATCCCCAAAGCCACAATACTCGGAAAAATGATACTTTCAAAGAAGAGTGTCCCGTATAACATCGCAATACCCGCATCTCCCCTAACGCCAATGGAAGGAGAGATGAAGATGATGATCATCGTGAAAAAGACCAAAAAGACAATCCTCGGCCGAATATACTTCATCAGAATGACTCCGAGAAATCGTCCAATAGCAAAAGCCCCTTGAGCGCCAGCGAGGAGTTGCGCGCCTGTACTGCTGCTCGTTCCAGCTTTCGTTTCGACGCAGTAGTTGATAAAGTATCCCGCAATAGCCACTTGCGAACCACAATAACAGAATTGCGCAAACGAGGCATGGAAGAGACGGTACTGTTTCCTCAATGGCTTGTCCGCGTTCGAAGCATTCGCGCTCTAGGCCTGCAACGCCATATCCGCGTCGGTAATTTCCGGAATATCGCTGAAGCAGAACACAACCGCGAGGCAGAAAACAAAACAAGCAATAGCCAGATAAACCCATTGAACATTCTTGATCGCATTCGCATCATCATCAACATCTTTGAAGAAAATATACGACCCCATCAAAGGCGCCACAACACTCCCCACACCATTAAAAGCCTGCGAGAAATTGATGCGGAGTTCAGAGTATTTGGGAGGTCCACAGATGGTGATATAAGGGTTTGCTGCGGTTTCGAGAGATCCGAGACCATTTCCGATGACGAAGATGGCGGCGCAGAAGCCTCCGAAGGAGCGGTAGACGAGTGCTGGCCAGGCGAGGAGGGATCCGATGCCGTATAAGCTGAGGCCCCAGACGAAGACTGCTTTGAAACCGAATTTGCGGAGGATCCAGTTGGCGTGGCCGAGGGAGGCTAATGGGTAGGCGCCGAAGTAGGCGGCTTGGAGGCCGGAGGATCGGACTCTGGTGATTCCGAGGGTGTTTTGGAAGTGTTTATTCAGAGTGTCCAGGAGGCCGTAGGAGAATCCCTGTAGGAAGTTGTCAGATGAAAGGTGAAGAACGAATCTTCAAAGGTTTTACGTACCCATAAGAAGAAGAGCAAGGTGACCAGGAACAGAGGATAGATTGATTGCCGAAGGGTGAGGGATGCCGCACTGGTGTGACTGGTGTTGGACACCTTGCCCAGTCGGAACTTGGGCAGTTGCATCGTGGCGAACAGGAACAAGTTCGCAAGGTCGAGAGGCGTATGTGAAGTTCAGCAGAAGTGATCCCCACGAGAGACTGTCCGCAACATCCTAGGATGCCAGCGTATTTTAAACGTCTCTCGATGTAGGTAGGATTCGTGCCTCCACTCCAGCACCTCGAGTTCCTCCATGGCTAGCGCGAGATTCGCTTAAGGGCAGTATTGCGTGGCGTTCCCCACGAGACAGGTTCATCCGAAGGAAAGGCCAACAACATCCGTCTGGGGAACGCGGGGTGCAGTCGGTAAGCACTGTGGCGGTCCAGTATGGCGTGTTTAAAGTTGCGCTCCGACAATTGGTGTCCAGGCACGGGGAACCTCAATGCAGATCCGGGGAAATATACTATACTCGAAGGAATTACCCGATTTTCCGCAGACAGCACGCCTCAATTCATGAATCTCTTGGTGTAATCATACTGCCAGACCGGAATATCCTTTCGTCCACCTGTAAACGCTCAGCACACTAATCAAGTGCTCGTAATTGCCTTGCAAGCGAGCCGAGTTTCTGTTCGTTGCAGAAGTCACGCTTTGTGTCTCGGACTGAGGACTTGTCTCCATTGCATTGGCGGCGTTGAGTAGTTGAGCATATCCCAGGCCTTGCCTCGCATCATGCAAGACTCCACGCATGACCTTTCGAAAGTTCCGCTGGTAATCTACATTGAGCGTCGCAAAGCAGATTTCGTGTGCCCGGATAATGGTCTCGCAAGCCTGTCCGACAGACTCATTGGGACTCCCGCCGACTTCTGGCATTCGAAAAGCGAAGAAGAGTAGGATGAACGACCCTTGCAGCAAGTAGATGCCAAAGAGGTAGGGCATATATGCCAACTCGGGGTCCACATTGAGGATTTGCGAGATCGTCTCTGCGGCAGCGATGGCATGCGAACCGCACGTGGAAAAGTGATCGGACGTGATCCAGTCACTCAGTGCCATTTGGCAAGGATCGTCGATACTCACAGCCGCGACAGGAGCTTCGGCCGCAGATGGAGGGACGAGCATGTCGAGAGCATCCCACCGGCCGTGCAGCAGGATGTACAGGACATGGATCAGGAACCGGCAGTACAGTTGTATGGCAGTAGCAGGAGCCCTCCCATAGCCGCCGGTGATCGCAACGTCAGCATCATGTGATGATCGCTGACCTCGATGCCACTGAGCATCATTGATATCGGCCTCAAGCTTCGCTAGAACTTCATCGATCCGAGACGTCTCGCCATTGTTGATCAAGAGTGACATTCGAGGATGCATTCGTTGATGGTGTAGCCAGATAATATCTCCCAACACGGTCATCAAAGGCAAGAACCACTCAAATAGGCCACGGCCATGGATCCTAGAATTCGGACCCGGATGTCGGCGATGCAAGAGCGCATCTGCAGACAGATAATCGTCGTGCCATATGGCATCTGGAAGTGGATCGTAGACCTTACAATCCTGCTCCAAGATGAGTGGCATTTTGTTATAGCACAACGCCCAATGGCGATCAAGCGCAAATAACATCCAAAACGTTCTCCTGCGTTCTTCCCTGGCCTCCAAGTCTCGCATTGTCAAGTTACCTTGCGATGGAAAGAGATCTGGCGAAGCAGCATTCAGAGCAGCTTCATCAAGAAGATGCAATTCGAGCTTGCGAGCATCCTCAACCACCTGTTGCTACATACGAGGACAATCGTGCTTCGAGTCTTCGCTGGTGCGAAAAATCGTCAATAATAGCAGCGCCAGAAAGTCGTCAATGCTGTCCCGATCTTCCGGCTGCTGAGCCTTCTGGGAAGATGATGTCCGTGCGGTAGAAAGTGAGCCAGAAGGACGTCCATCAACGGACTTTGCTCCGATCGCACGCTGCCGGATATACTCGTCCACATGAGCCTGGGCCAGATTGCCCAGACCTTGCTGCACAGCACGGCGCTGATGCGGCATGAAGAGCGTAGGAATTTGGGCTGTGAGCGAACATATCCAGAGGATAGTCAAGGTCAGAGCTGGAGAAGTGGTTCGCGGATTTTGTGAGTCCAAGACAGACTGCTGTCGGATCACGGGAGTAAGCACGAATGGTGAAGCGCTCGTGAAGAGCGATGTGTTGGGCTGCACAAAGTAGTGCTCGAACAGCTTCGTCGCGACATCGCGTTCGATAATGTCTTCGATGATGTGTTCAATCGCTGCTAGTCCCGTATCCGGTTGCCGTGAGTGATCAGTTCCAGTGGGATCCTGTTCATGCCGGACTCGTCGCTGCTGGGGATCGCTGTGCGTGCTACATGGTGTCGTGGGGAAATGGACGTCCGACATGCGATGATCCCGCAGCGCAGCTGGCTCTGGGCGCTCATCGTCCACAGGTCGGCCTCTTTCACGCGTTGCCGAGTGATCTTGTCGCTTCGGCTTTGGTCCGCGAGGCTTCACGACTCTGACGAATTGGCAAGGCCGACCGGAGGCTGGCAATGTCAGTCGCTCTTCAAGCTAGGAGCGTAGTTCATGAGGCTGCATTGTGCCAGTACTAACCTTGACAGCTGGAGCTGCATCGCGGAAGATGTTAGCGTGGGCAATTTCTCATGCGGTGCAGGCACAGGCACAATACCATGGCTGCTGGCCATCGCAGCGAATGCGGGCCACGGAGCAGCGATCACAGGCTCTGCTGGTGCGAGTGCGCGTCGGAGCGCGAACATGGAGCGGCGGAAGCGTGCTGTTTGTGGTCGTCGAAGGTTGTTCCGCGTGCTGTCGATGTTGATCAAGCTCATCCATGTCGTGCCGTGCCTCAAACCTCGCGCGTTATCTTCGAGTTCTCCCGGAGCTCACCCGAAGGGCATTGTGATTGATCAGTCACCAAACGATGACCAGATCTGAGAGAGGTGCATGGTCAGTATTTACACGGGACGGGTAATCTGGCAGGCAACGGTTTCTCCAGACTCACGAATTATCCCGGCTTCCTTCCTTCCAAGAGCCCGCCTTTCTGCGCCCAGCAGCGGCACTTGCACCTTAGCGAACAACTTAAAGACCCCTTCTCCGCACTTAGTCCTCCATAGGGCTCTGCATAGTCCCTGCAAAATACCATAGATCCATGTACTTAGGCCTACAGTACCATGGTACGACCTCTTAGACGATGAGCAAATATTGACGTTAGCCTCAGTTGATCGTATCCCTACACACATGAATAGATTCCACGAAAGACCATTGCTATCATGTCCCGCCTCCTGTGCCGACAGCGAGGTGTCAGATGGGACGATGCATTGCCCAAAACAATCGAATTCGCTGCTCGAGGCAGGAAGTGGAGGAACGATAACACACACCACTTTTCCTGGAAACTCAATCCTTCCCGCGCTTCCACCCGAGAGCTACGATGCAACCGCCATCGGATTCCTAGAAATCTGCCACAGCAGCTGTGCCCAATACCGCCATGAACCAAAAGGCACCCCAGCGTCCGCTACTCGGCAATCCTGACATATCCTTTCCTTTCAGTGTCAGCCTCGACATACTGCCCACAAAGCTCAACACGACGACGATCTCCTCCAGCCGACTTCTCGGATGTCCTGGCTCCCATTTCAATTCCGCATTGTGTTTCTCCCCTTGCACGATCTGCCACTTCGCGATGCGAGTGTGAAAAGTGGTGTCTGCGAGAGCGTAGCCACTCGGAATTCGACTCCAAGCGAGTTCTCTTGTGCCGCTGCCAGACTTTTCGGGTTTATCAAGCGCTCCGGGAAGGGTAAAGGTGTAGGAGGTAGGGTGTGGCCGTCCGATTCTCGCACGAACTTGGATGAGTCTGGCTTCTCTGTCGCTACTGCCTTCCAGACCAGTGGTGAACATTTGGAAACTGTTATCTGTAGGCGGAAAGTTTACGGTGCCGAGGCAATTGCCACGAGAAGTGTCGGTGCCTGAATACAGCTTGATGATCGATGGTGATGTTTTGTGAAGAGAAGCAACGAGTCGGTATTCTATGGGAGTCGAACTGCCTCCCTGTTCGGAAGTGAGTGACACGAGACGCGCCTTGGAAGTGATACCATTGCCTTTGTAGAATTGTACCACTTGCGGCAAAGGACCTGGATATGCAGCCGGGCTCATACGTTGCTGGGCGCTGTTCGAGCTGGGTTCAGCATTGGCTTCTCGATACGTCGGCGGAGGAGGCGCACTACCAGGGGACGGGGGACTGTCATAATCGCTCGCGTTCTCCACGAACATCATGTAGCTTTCCGTTCGAGCTATTGTCGCCGGAGGTACATTCTGGTCGAAAGCGGGTGGCGAATCTTGGTGGATGCCCGTAGAGGTCGGCTCCTGTGTCGCGATGGGACTGCTGATACTGCTGGGCACGTCTTGCTTGCTCATTGTCGGCACTGGGCGTGTAGACGTAGAAGGGTTCGGGGTGATCGATAGCAGAGGTGGCACACTCAGCTCCCAGTGCTAAGCTTTTAGCAAGCTGCAGTCTGCGCCGAGGAACTTCACCTGAGCTCGCCTCGATCAATGTGGCACACAATGCAATTCTTCTCCACCAGGGAAAGGCGCAGCACGAACGCAGCAAGTTGCCTCATGTTTCCTTCGCCACAGTAACAGTCTTGGTTCTTGACGTTCAGTGATCTAGCTCCGGCGACGACAAGTACTGATGACGTCGTGCCCATGCTTTTCAGCTGGCCGCGGAGCGCAGCCAAAAATCACTCATACTCAAATTTCCAGCGAGGCATTTGTTGCACGTGCAGACGCGTGTTCAATCCTTGGCAGCACATATGTACTCAAGTGCAGCCATAAATACTGGGCGAAAAGGATGGAAGGAGCCTAGTTGCGGACAGCAAAATGGAGACTGGGGAATACACTCGCTTTGCGATCTCTCCCGCGAACTGGACTTAGCAGCTGCGTCGCTTGTCGAGAAAGAGCGGCCAAGCTACGCTGCACGAGGCGGAGACACGAAGAGCGAAAGGGCACTCGAGTTCCCCAGGCAGAAGAGTACGGAATCTCGATCTGGCTTCCTGTCTCGTTTACCGGTAGTAGGGAGCTTGACGCCGGAAACTCAGGATGAGTCCTATGCTGATGTCTGCATGGGTCGCCCGACAGGAGGAAATCGCTTGGCGCTGAGCAGAACGCCCTTTACACCTCTGATTTCCTTCTTCAGTTCCTCGATGGCGTCGTCTTCTTTCTTGCTTTCTGTGCCGGTGGTGCCGTTGCCGTAAGCGTTCTTAATCGAGTCTTCTGTCCACAATGGCCCGCCAACGGTTCCGTAGATCAGCTGATCCAGATAGTGTCTGAGGTTGTTCATCTTCTCTAGTCGATCTTTGTGCGCCTCTCCAGATTTGTCCGAAGCATCTGCCATTTCATTCATGTGTGATTCTATGATCTTGAGTCCATTTGTCGCCCATTCCACATGATCCTTCTCGCCATTGTCCACGATCAGAGATTTGGGCTCGGGTGGAGCTTCGGTTTGCGTGCCCATATCACGATGATAGAGCTCGGTGGGGTCACTGATCTCGCTATCTGTGTCTTCGCCCGCTTCTGAAGAAGCGACTTTTGTGCCCGGCTGTTTGCTGACGAGCTTTGAGAGGCGTTCGTTGAGCACGTCTACCTTGGACTGGCTGTGGGTGAGGAAGTCGTGGCGCGACTCTGACAAGTTGTCGACCATAGGGTTTATGATGTACTTGCTGGCCGCGTACAGAATGGTGGCAAGTCCGCCAGCTGCGTAGAGTGTATTGAGCACGCGAGTGGGAGTGATGAGTGGAGGTGGCTTGTGTGCTTCGACGAGGAATTCGGGATACGTGATGATGGGCGGCGGAGCAGGTCTCTGCTCTTGCTGGGGTTGAGGCTGAGCAGGAGGCTGTTGGCGTTGTTTGAATGTGTCGAAGTCCTCTGACTGGAAGACATATTGGTGTTTGGCTGAGTCCTCCTGCTGTGTAGCAGTAGCTACCGGTGTCTCATCTGCTTCGCTTGCTGTATTCACTGCATTACTCTCGCTTTCAACCGCAACCTCCTTCACCTCTACATTGTCAGACTCGGTCGCTTGACTCTCTGCATTCTGGGGTTGGCTGTAGACGGGGTCGTTGGCGGGTGCGGGTTTCGCTTGAGCTGCGCGTTGCCACGCTGGGATCTCTACTTTGGGCTTGCCGTTGGACATGGCGGTACTGTCCTTGGTGCTCAATGACAGAAGTGAGCAATGTTGGAGAGGAAGACAAGCACCAGCATCTGATCGGACGTGAACGGCACGCGCGAGCCTCGGCTGGGCCACGAGACGAGACGAAGCTTGGCAGACGTGAGATCCACACGGGCAACGCTAGCCGGGGAAAGCGCATGTGCTGGGCGGAGGATGGCTCCTTCCCTCTGCAGCAGTCGTTCTTGCCCATTGCATTGGCTTTCATCACGATGGAATCCTCCGACAGCAACAAGCGATTGAAGGCGAGCAATGGGGCGCCAATCAGCACGTCGCCTGCACTATCGGGTGCTGCGCGCCTCCCAGCGTATCATCCGCCCGCGGCGCAGGGAGCACGAGGCAGCGGGTAAGCAAATAATGACCTGGTCGCAGGTCGCACGCCCCTTCCCAGCAGCGGAACACAGGGCGGAAACGGCGGTGGTAGTGGGGGCGGTGAGGGTGTTGCTGGTGGCGGCAGCGGCATGGACGCCTCACGCTATGCAGCGTGAGGAAGCATCCATGGACAAACGCGGAGGGCTGCGCGGGTGGTGGTGGTGAGGCTGCGCGCGATAGTTCACCAGCTCGCGCCATGGCAAAGCAAGCCTGCAGATCACCAGGAACACACGAAGAAGCCACATTCCTCGGCCGCACCGGCGCCCACTTCACCCACCAGCTTCCTGCCCTGCAAGACACGTCTCATTTCACGCTGTTCCTCCTCCGCCATCAACACCGCCTCCTCCGCTGCCACCATGCCTCCCGCGCGACGCTCTGCGCGCACCGTTTCCAACCCCGTCACTGCAGCGAGAGACTCCACCGAGCCATACAGTCGAACTAATGCGCGCGTCGTCAGTTCATCCGCATCCATAGCCCGACCAGCAGCCGGCAAAACATCCCTCCGCCTCACAGTCAAGGCACCACCCAGTAAGCTCAGACAAGCAACCTCCGGCTCAGCGATCCCGCCCAACCCGTACGCAGACAACCAGAGCGAGAGCGATGCCACACCAGCTCCTCCACGACGCGCAGCAAGAGCTACCCGCAATCCGCGAACCGTCGTCGATCATGATAGTGACGAGATGGACGAAGACCAGGACGCAGAGGGCGAGGACGAGGAAGAAGATGCAGAGGGCAGCAACGACCAGGACGCTCTGGGAAACGAAGACAGTGAAGAAGACGCAGAGGGCGAGGACGACGATGTAGACATGGACGATCATCCGCCGCCCCCTGTCATCACTCGACATCCTGCGCCCAGCAAGGGCAAGTCACAGACAATAGTATCTGCCCCACCTGCAGGCACTCTGAAGTCTGTCGAAGCGAAGGAAATGGAGGACGACGATGACGAAGAGCTGTCAGAGCTAGATTCGCAAGAAGACGATGAGCTGGAGGGCAATGACGATGAGGACGAGGAAGAAGACGAGGAAGATGAGAGCGACGAAGACGATGAGAACTCGCGAAGTGCCACGCCGGACTTGTCGAAATTAACAAAACGCCAACGTGGGCAATTCGTCGAATCGGAGGGAACGGAGACGAATGAACTTATGGCCCTGTCCAACGAAGCTCTCAAGAAGAAGCACCTCACAGCAGAAGAGCACGTCCAACGAAGAGCAGAAATGGCTCGCCGGAGGAAGAATTTGTCTGAGAAGAGAAATGAAGAGGAGAAGGTATGAATTGCAGCTCCTTTCCCACCATTTTTTAGGCACTGACTTGAATCTAGATGGACACCATCAACAAACTCCTACACAAACAAGCTCCTAAGCGTCGTACTCGTGCCGAAATGGAAGCTGCGCGCGCTGCTGAAGCTGGTGAGACTCCCGCTGCCGAGAGAGATGCGAATGCTCTGGATCCGACATATGTGAGATGGGTCAGCCGAAAAGAAGGCAGCTTGGTCTGCGTTCCTAAGGACTGGCAGGACAGTCCTGTCGGAGAGCAATTCGGCTTCTCATCGAATAGTGGCGGCAGGATAGTGGAGGAGGTGCAGTGAAAAAGCTGCACTCCGAGAACGATTGACTCATTGTTTGCAGCCAAGCAGGACCTTTCTTTGAGCGAATGCTGAATTACTATAGATACTTGCATAGCGCAGAGGCATCACTCTGGATATCACATACAGTACGAAGAACGGATGGCCCAAATGGATATTGCATAGCTCGCATCGCGGCACTTTCACCTCTTGCGATATCGTGAAGAGCGCATTCCCTGTCCGTCACTGGTACGGCAGGCATGGCTGGCCACGATTTCATATTGCTTTCCCACTCAATGAACTCTCCACCTACTTACGGAACATGTTCCAGCCTCTCCCTCCCTGCATGATCCTTCCACGTCACATCGCCAGTGGCGGAGCAGGATGTACTTGTCACTGGAAGGCTTGGACTCGAACTTCTCTGATCTTCCCTATGATTTGGCTTTGCTGCTTCGTTCCGCCGAGCAGTGAGGCCTACTACCAGCCTTGATATCCGAGACTCTCTTCGACGTTGCAGACAAAAAAGAATGTATCAGGTCCAGGTCTCGCTTTGTTCTATCTGCCTATGAACACACTGCATCAACCTCAACAAAATGTTCAGACTCTCTCCCGGAGCTTATTGCTCCAATTGCATCGACCAAAAAGTCAACTGTTAGCCTAGCTTGCGACAGAGATCGGTTGCAGAAGCAAAAAAAGAAATTCTTAGAGATTTCATATTCCCCTGGATAATTGTTAATTACTGTTCGATCGTGAGAGGAGATAGCAGAGAGTACACACCCTCACAGGCTTGAACTGTGAACCTCTCGATTGCAGAGTCGCTTCGTGGAAGCAACTGTAACAGTCGAACGCGCTAGCCAATTGCGCCAAGGAGGATTCGACGAATGTGATTCGCTAATTCATGCTAATTCCCTCTAAAGATTCAATATGATGGCTTTACAGTGAAAGCAAAAGGCGAAGCAGGCACATTTTTGGTGGTCCCCGACTGACATGCTGAAATTGGAATTGCAGAATACATTTGCCACCCTCGAACGCTCAGTCTAGCGATCTCAGACAAAGTGCGTCCAGTATGCGACAGCCAAGATTTCTGGTCGTGTGCAGAATTGCATCGTTGATGGAAATGAGATGTCAGAAAGGGCTCGTGATGTCTCATTGACGTGTGAGAAATGCAGCAGCTAACTACCGCAATATTCCAGGGGACTCTCTCTGTCATTCCAGCGTGCAACCCAGCCGTCATCGAGCGATTTGCTTCATTAACATTGTCAATCTCTGTTCGGAGTCGCTCATACAACCGAAAAAGAAATCCACCAAAAAACTGGGAATCGTGCAGAGAAAGCAAAAGTATCCATCTTCAACCCCAACATACTCTCATCATTTCACCCTCTCCCCAACATCCTTCTCCCAGTTTTCCTTATCCTGCAACCACTCCGCCCACTCCATAACCTCTCTCGCCCACTCTCTCGCCTGCTCCCTCGTCACAACTTCCTCATCCGCCAGTACCTGATTCCAAAGCCTCATCTCTTTACCATCGCCCTCAATCCAACAATTATACAACCACGCCGTCTCACAATTCGCTTTCGTTTGATGATATTCCATCGCTTCATACAACAGCTCTCCATCTTTCGTTCGGACGGGGAGATAATTCAGACAAGTGCTCATGGACGCAAGATCGAAGAGGTCTTGTGCTGGAGGGGAGATCTTTTGAGCGAGGCCGGAGCGGATGAGATTCCAGGGTGCGTGGACGTCGGGGGCTTCGGAGTCTTGTTTGGATTTGAGGGATTTGAGGAATTGGAGGACAGCGGTCGGTTTGTTATTTGAAGAGGAGGTTTTTGTTGGGATGGGGATGATTTGGAGTGTGCGTTCGAGGGTTGGGCCTGCGAGGTCCATGCAGTCGGGGAGAGAAGTTTGCATCCAGGGTTCGAGGAAGGGCCAGGTACGGCCATTTTCGTTCTGGCTGAAGATTGCGGTGGATGTGTTGGTTTTGGAGGCGAGGAAGAAGGCGAGGGCGGCTTTGATTAGGATGAAGGGTGGGATGCTGTGCTGGCTGCGCAGCGAAGAGAGGTATGGCAGGCTGACGGAGATCTTAGGGGCGAAGTAAGTCTTGCGGTGGGCGGCTGTGGCATGAGGGTTGTAGTCTGAAGGCAGTTGCGGGAACAGAGAGGGCGTCTGCGATGTGAGGTTCGAGAGGCGCTGGATTTGTCGGTTTACGGCGCGCGAAGCAGCGGGAGAGGTGCGATGGAGGAAGTAGGTATCCGCCCAAGCTTTGTAGGGAACATGCGCGCGGAGGGGTGTCGATGGCGAGGCGAGAAGTGCGTCGAGGTCGTCGAGGAAGCTGGAGAGTGCGAGACCGTCACTGTGCACGAGTTAGCAAATGTCAGAGGAGACAATGAAGGGCAAAGACTTACAACGCCGAATGCTGGAGCGCCCAGATGAGTCCAGATTTGCCGGTAGAGTTCACCTTGGCCACCTTCACCAGGAAGGATGGATAGGGTTGGTCGACTTCGCGGAAATGTACACCGTCGTACAACAGCTTGACCAAGTCTTGTGGTTGGTCCACTGCTTCGATATTTCCCACCGCATACTTGAACCACTTGTCGTTCGATCGCATGATTACTCGCATTGTTGGCTCTCCATTCGCACCTTTCAGTTCGAAGCTTCGCTGCATGGCATGGTGATCAATCGCTATGCGCAACGCAGCGTAGAGTTCATCGACATCAGCCTGCTTAGTCGTGATGGCCATGCGGTGATTGACCTTGGCTGTCCCTGCTACGTTGCCAAAGACCTCGTAACCAAGGTCCCAAGATGGGAGAACGTCCTCAACATCCTCATCCCACGAGAAGCCAAGGGGAGTGATGGCTTCTGCTACTTGTTCTTTGATCTGTGCCATGACTGCTGGCTCTCCAAGAGTGATGGCGACATCATCGGTGTCGGGAGGGCCTTCACGCTTCACATCCAGCCCAGGCGGCAGTGATTTCGTGTTGCTCCTCGACGAGAGCAGTTCGGCTTGTTTCTGTACCGTCCCAGCTTCGATGATTTCCTCGATCGTGATGTCCACTCCAAGATTCCGTTTGACCATGTTGCGAAACCTCATAGACGTGATACTGTCTGCGAAGTCCCCGACAGAGCTTTCAGGTGAAACATCGACACCGAGGAGTTTTCGCCAGAGTTTGATCAAATCATCGACGGTAACCCCGGATACCTTGGCCGCTGGTTCTTCCTCCGCCAGCGAGTCTTCATGTTTTTGCACAATCTCTTTCAGCTCAACTTTTCTGACCTTGCCACTTGAAGTGCGGGGATAATCTTTGAGACCGAGATCTTGCAAGATGTAGAAGTTCTCTGGTACGAAAGCAGGGCCCAACGCTGCAACGAGAATTTTTCGAATTTCGGCGGTTGGCAAAGTGTTATCGTTCTGCTGCTGGATGATGGCCACTGGAACTTCGCCGGCTTCTTCACTTCGTACACCCACTACTTGTGCCTAATTTCCGTTAGTTCAACAGTTCCAGCCTTCCTCGTTGACCACTTACCTGAATTTTGAGCTTCGCGTCCAGGACAGCCTCGATCGCAGCAGGAGCGATATTCTCACCTCCTCGGATGATGAGATCCTTGTATCGCCCCGAGATAGTCACAGTGCCATCGTTGGCCATAATACCTTGATCACCCGTCATGAACCATCTACCATGCTCATCATCGTAGAAGCTCTTTGCAGAGAAGCCACCAAGATAGCCTTGAATGAGGTGAGCTCCGCTGATGTGCATCTCGCCAGCTTCGCCTCTCGGCACAGGTTGGCGTGTGTCCGGTGCACAGATTCGCACTCGTGCCCCATCGACCACTGATCCTACAGACACCACTTCCGCAGTCCTAGTATCGAAGAATGCTGTTGTGATAGGCACAGCTTCCGTAGCAGCGTATGAATTTGTCATGCTCTTGCATCTTAGGCCTGTCCAACATAGCCTTCGGTGCTCTAGCAGGATGGTGGTAGCTCCGAGTTCAATGTTCCTCAGTGAAGAAGTGTCGGTAGACGATGCGCTGGGGTGTGCGGCAATTGCCTGAAGGATTGCAGGGACGGAAGGTAGATTTGTGCATCGCTCTTGGTCAATACTGCTCACGCGTTAGCTCAGAAGAGGCCGGGAGAGCAAGGGGAATTCGAGTGACTTACGCTCGAAGAGACGCTGCTGGATCGAAGGACGCAGAAGGGAAGACAGTGCAGCCTCCCACGATCATAAATCCCAGAGCGATGTTGATTCCGGCGATATGATGATTGGGCATATGACAGCAAGTTCGATGGGATGGAGTGAGTCTCAGTGCCATAGCCTGCGACAGAAGAGAATTTCCGACACTAGCATTGGTATGAAGTCCACCTTTGGCTAACGATGTCGTGCCGCTCGTGAAGACAATAACAGCAACCTCGTCATCTTCCGACTGGACTGGAGAGTCCATTGGGCTGTCGTGCGGCCTATCCTCATCCCAGTCTTCTGCATCTTTGCCAGACTTGAAAAGTTCGTAGAAGTTGATCCAGGACTCGAGTGCTGTGTTCGATTTCTGTTGTGGAACTGCGCGTATAGACATCGCAGAGATGAGATCTGGAACGGCACTGGCCAGTTTTGCTGCGATATCAGCATCCCCAGCGATGATAGCTCTCGCCCCTGACGTCTTCAGCATATGTTCCACTTCGGCCACATTTGCTACACCTCGGGGGTTCAGCGGCACGAATGGACATCGCAGAATCGACGCGGCCCGAAACGTGACAGCCCATTCCATGCCATTGGGCAAGTATGTTGCGATCGGTTGACCTGCTCGCAGGCCTTGATCGCGAAGGCCGCTTGCCAGGAGTCGTGCAGCATATTGTAGTTGTCCGTGGGACCAGCGAAGATATTGAGCTGAAGATGCATCCTGTGGTCGTAGGCTGTACTTTTCGGGAAATTCAATCGATACGATGTCGCTAGTCTGGTGCATGCATATCAAAGCAGGCCGCCGAGCGTATTGTTCTGCTGTGTGTGCGAGCAGTTTGCGAAGTCCCAATACAGGTTTGGGCAGAGCCGCTCCATGAACTTCTGATATGTAAGGGTTCGATGCTCGCGAATCGTTCTGGCGATTCTCGGCCAGCTGGGTTCTGGATTAACCGGTCATTTTGTGCGATTAAAAAGTGATCTCGAGCACAACACAACGGCATGAGACTGGGAATTATATAGCCGGCAATCTTCGTCGTTACATTGGCGTACCATTGGCGGCCTGCTTCTAGGAGAGGACATCTTTGCGCTGCTTGGTGACCTCGGTCAAACCACAGAAATTCCAAGAACTGGTGCTTGATGATTCGGTGGCATCAGGGTGCAAGTGCTATGAAGAGCCTAGTTCCAGGGCTCGACAGCTTGACAGGCTTCGCTCGTTTGCATACTATGTGTTTGGTAAAGTGTTCGCCGAGCCATTTGGGAATGAGCGTCTGGCGATCACGAAACTTGTCGATGGTTTGGGATTCGCCATTGGGGCTAGAGGCTAGTGGACACGAATTAAGCGTCATCCAGGGATCGAGAGGTAGATCAGCGAAAGTAGCATTTTTACCGTCGACTTATCACAGGCACCACGAGTGCGATCTTGGAGGGAGAACAGATGATGTCTGAAGGCTGAAGACGTGATGCTGGAGGAGAGTATGCAACGAAGGATTGCGGCTTGAGAGGGAAGCAGACAGCACGGCTGGTAGATTGTGGACTTGGAAATAAGAAATACAGTACGGAGAGAATCTTAAATTGTGGACCCGCCAAGCTGTGACGATTGAGGGGTCCGTGGCTGACCCTTTTGCACTTGCCAGCACCAACAATCATCCACAACATATCCGTGATATTCATCATATTCATCTTAACGTTGCAAAATGCCGTCTCGGGAGCAAGCAAGCCTCCAAGAACCCTGCAGGTTGAGCAGCAAGCTCCAGGACTCCTGCCAAAACACCTCAGCGGATTCGGCTCGGCACGATTGTCTGGAAGAACACAAAGGAAGCGTTGTCTGTGCTCTGCAGCGCAAGATGATACTGTTTCCGCGTGGCATCGCGTGCGTTAGAGGACCAGAGTCTCTCGCAGAATGCATGTGCGCTTCATAGACGGAGTGCGGCGCGGATACCGAACATCGTGGTCATTTTAAGCTGAGATCAATGATGAGAAACGTGCTCCCACGCAGCTGAGATAGCGACAGACGAAGACTAGTTGAAAACGCACAGCGTTCGCAAACCACTAGAGACGGGTTACTGATCGAACTGACTTGCACTGCAATGCAGTAGCTTTCTCAACGATCTCTCCTGCTGATGACTATCATGCATGGTTTGACCGGAAGCTGTGAACATCAGCATCAAGTACAAGCAGGAATGAGAGACAAGATCTAAGCCATGGCCTACAAGCAACCGTGTTGCCGCTCTACAGGTGCCCAATCGAAAGGAAACGGTATCCAAGATCACCAAAAGCATTTTGATAGATTGGCTCAGCCGGTACGACCGTTTGAACGTTGCACGTTGTCCGCGACCCGGCGTTTGTCTTGGCCATGCACGACTGCTCTAACACACATCCACTACCTCGAAGTTCCAATACACCAAGCACTTGGAGACTCGATTCGATTGCAAGATGCTTGTACGGATAGCAAAATCAGTATGTTCACGGTAGGTCCAAAATCTGTCAAGGTACATTATCCTTCTCCAAGTGCGGAGACAGCAGACGAAAACAACATTGAAAAGCTTATAGAGACATTGAAACGGCTTGATCTGCCTCACGCCGTTATGTGGGACCCCAACCATGGTCCGTCGATATTGCACATGTCTCTCATGCTATCGAATGTCGCGATTGAGAGCCTCAGCTGTTGAGAAGACCTGTATAAGAAGGCAGAAGAATTCCCTCTCTTCTCATTCTATCAGCAACAGCATCTTTTCACAGCAACCAACTACCCACACTCGCTCATCAGCCTCAGCAACTCAAAAACCACAAAAAAACCAAAACAAACAATCAATCAAAATGGTCAACTTCGTCGAGATCTTTGCTGGCGCTGCCGCATTGTAAGTCAATCATCGCATCAAGACGCATCAAGACAGTCAGTTGCGCCTGCTCACACACTTTCAGCTCCACTGTCGTCGCCGCAGGTGGCTATGGCGGCTATGGCTCCCCAAGCTACGAGGCTGAGAAGCCTCACTACGAGGCCGAGAAGCCTCACTACGAGGCCGAGAAGCCAGAGTACCAGCCCAAGGAGCCAGCTTACGAGGCACCAAAGCCAGAGTACAAGCCTGAGGAGCCATCGTACGAGGGCCCCAAGTACGGACCAGGTTACCAACCAGGTTACCCAACCAAGTCGTACTACCCAACCACAATGAGGACCACCACCATCCCAGCAACAACAACAACTGCTACCACCTCGACCACCACTACGACCTCGGCCACGACTACTACCACCACTGTACCAGTCGTGCCAACTCCATACAACATCTACATCGGCAACGTCCTCACTGATGCGATCACTGAGTTCCTCCCAGCCATCGGCGACGCCGCCTTCGTAGCGAACGATGCAGAACTCGCTCAAGACCTCCTGACCTTCGGCAACTTCCTCGACACCGATGTTACCGCCGACGTCTTCATCTCCTCGCCAAACCCAGAGACTGGTGATGACTCTGTCCTCTTCGACTCCACCACTTCGCAGTTCGCCCTTGCCAACGTCGGCAACCAGTTCCTGACCACCACCGAGGGCGAGACCGCATACTACGTCTTCTTCGCCGATGCCGCTGACGCTGTCGCTGGCGAGGGCAACCTTTTCGTCACTGTCGCTCAGGATGAGGATGACGAGTCTCTTGACCTCCGCATTGCCTTCCCTCTTGGCGATGGTATTGCCTCTATCAACGTCCTCAGCGTCTGCCCAGGCGAGTCCCTCGACGAGGTCTTGGTCATCTCTACTGGCGAGCTCGTCGAGTGCACACGCGTCCAGCTCAACTACGTCGACCTCGTCGGCGACGACAACTAGAGTGATGGTCATGACATGAGATCGATGAGGATGGGAGCACGAACGATAAAGACCAGACGAGACCCTGCTGAGGCTGTTGCTGCCTGCTATTGTGCCTAATGGCATGTTTATAATTCCGTAACATCTGTAATACTGCTTATTCAAAAGACGATTTGTCTTTCCAAATATATTTCATGCTTCATGGCACCTTTCAGTTATTGGGTCGCTCTTTGTCGGGTGCTCGACTGTCTTCCATATCGTCTACTTCTTCAAGCATTATCAATGCAATTTAAGATCCTTTCTCTATGAGTCAGACGTTTTCTCAATGTTTCTTGATGCATCACATGCGACTGTATCTCATAGCGATAGCTGCATGTCTAAATTCTGTATGGAATGAGGCTTCCACGACGAGTACATTTCCCTGATTAGACTGCAGAGACTGTAGTCTCCATTGTCGCATAAGCACGAATGTGTCGCAGAGATCTGAATTGAAACATCAGGGTTCCCCGAAGCCTTCCATGCTGACATTGACAGGCACATGTCAAAAAAAAAGTGGGTCGGGGAATCCTTCGGGTTTCCGGCCTTCAACCATTGCTACGATCGCGAGTATATCCGGCTATTGCATTCGCGGGGATATCGATATAGTTGAGTTCAATGGCACTATCGGCGTTGGCAGTGCATCATTTTCTCGTTCGCAAAACTCCAACAGCGTTTCTCATCAGTTTTGTTTCTACGATCGTGCAGCTATCATGTTCACAGCACCTGTAGACAAAGTCGAATTGACGACCAAAGACACTCCAGGCTATACGCATGCCGAATGCCTTACAGAAGAGAGCGCGAGATTAACATCCGAGTTGTTAACCCTCAATCATGATCTCTTCCATACACGATGGTGAGACTCATTTACCCAATACTCAGCAGAAAGAAACACTGACAATTCTCACGCAGGAACGCCGGCTTCCACAACCACATCACCCACCACTTACTCGCCATGTACTCCCTCGGAGCCACGACAGAAGAGTTGAAAGACATGTGGGATTACAATGCACCATACCAAGCGCCCATCGATCGGGATCATGAAACTGTGCCGAATGACCTTGATCTGCACGATCCGGCAGTTTTCAACGACTGTTTGGGCAAAGATGTACACTATATCGACTTTTTGGAGTTCTTCCAGTCCGAAATCAAATCGATGGGGCCGGAGGCGGTAATTCGAGAATATGTGCTCAAGGGCGATGCGAGAGCCGATGACATTTTCTGTAGGATGTATACAGGTTAGTCGGCGATTTTCGTGTTGCTCTCAACATGACTTGCTAACAATGTGATAGACCTCGTACACCCAATGATCCATCTCGGATGTGCAATCGAGTGGCAACAATCCAGCGTATTGGCAGAATCCCTCGCCGGAGCTTGTGTGCACGAGAACTGGCCCAAGGAATTTCTGCTTCCCACAGAGGAATACTTGCGTAATAATCCCGAATCGAAGTCACATCCTCTCCTGCAAATCACCAAGACAATGCAATACGATCCTGCCATCGCTCAGGCTGTCAAGGACGACGACCCCTTCAACAAAATCGCAGATGGTCTCATGAAGCGAGTGAATAGCGAGCAATTCGCTCGTCATCTCAGCCAATTCCGAGTCGAGCCCACAGAAGAGGATATTCAACAAAAGATGAGCGAAATGATGCATACTGCCGCATACATCATGGGCGCTGCGCAACGACCTGGCAAGCGGGAGAAGATCGACTTTGTGTTGTTGCACAATGTCACACTTTCTGGATACTATCCCGCCATAATTGCACAAGATTGGTTAACCCTGGAAGAGAAAGCCCGCATTCTCGAAGCCAAAGGGAGAGTCGACGCCGTGATGTACGCAGGATGTGGATGTCCGGATCTGTATCCTGAGCGCATTATCAACTATACTCCGAAGAACGAAACAGATAGCTGGCCAGAGCTATTCCATCGTTCGATCGTATACCGCGACGAAGGCCATGCCACAAAACTGATCCGTTCACTTTACAGCCTGGAACAGCATTTCACAGAGATGGGCTGCGAACTGCCAATCGCAAAGAAAGATTTCGTAAAGATCGCTCATATCGCCATGGATTCGATTGAGAGGTCTATGCAACCGGGAGGGACAAAGATGCCGAAGGAGGTTGCGGAGACGATGGCGAAGAATATCGGCCATGGCGGAGAGTTCGTTGTCGCGAATGCTACGCGATGGGTGTTCTACGATGGTCTTCCGAAGGCCTGGGATAATGTTCCAGATCTGGCAGAGGGTAAGCCGGAGTTTTTGCATGATAGTGCTCGGGGGTCGCCTGAGCGGTCGTAAGAGTTGTATAATAGATGAGCGTCTGCATAGTCTTTAGGATAGCAAGAAATTGCTCAACCAGCTTAGCAACATGATGCACCGCTTCTGTGGTATGCCATATCGTGCAGTCTCGACATGACTATACCCAACCTCAGCTCGAGGTCTTCACGATGCTTGTACGTTGCAGTAGTGTTTCGATTGTCTTCGAGAGGAAACCAGTGCGCCACCAGGAACGAGCTGAGGTGCAAACCCATGTCGTCAACGGCTGAGTCCCAGCGAATCAAAGTCTTCGGTGCAAAACCCGAGCAAGGATCTGGAACTCCGAGGACGCCATGGCCGAGATGCTGGCGGTGCTTGGTTCACTTCTACTCAGACCACAATCTCTAAATGCAAAACTCCCAGCACACAGGGATGGTAGGTGGAAGCATAGTTAGGATTTGGTTTGGTGTTGGGGAGAAAGGATGAAGGAGTGGCGCGTGATGAAGTCGGAGATAACGATCTCACACGAATGCCAAAAGTCGCGAATGTCAATGAGCATATCGTTAACCCCGAACGGAGCTTCGGATCCAATATCATGGAACAGGTTTTATCGACCTCTTGATCCATCTTGATGTTGTTACAACTCAGCAGTCGAAGAATCTATACAGTGTCAGCTTTGCTCTTGCTGGGTGTGTCCAAACGAACGACAACAAGCACAGCAACGCACCAAATCGTCAACAACATCGCCAAATATCCAACCATGCCTGACAACAAAGCAGCATGGATTCCAGCACCCAAAGCACGCCTAGAAGTCCAACCAGCTCCATATCCCACGCCTGGCCCAAAAGATATCATAATCAAAACATCGCACGTCGCCATCAACCCTCTTGAATATAAGATTCAAGACACCAACCCTCCGATCGGCGGCAAAGAAATCCCATACCCAACAATCTTAGGCGCAGACCTGTCCGGTACAGTCGTAGAGATTGGATCCGAAGTTTCGACACGCCACGTAGGAGACCGAGTAATCGCGAATGCGAACGGAGCACAGACAGGTCAACCTTCGAGGGGTGGGTTCCAGTTGTACGTGCGGTTAGATGAGAGCAACACGACACTTCTGCCAGTTAATGTTCCTTTCGAGGCTGGAGCTGTTTTGCCTTTGGCATGCGACACTGCTGCGGCAGGGCTTTTCGTTCCCGAGCAGTTGGGTCTGCACACAAATGCGCTAGGTGGTGAGGCGACCAGTTCAACAGCTGCCGGGCCAGGCTCTGTATTGTTGGTATGGGGAGGTAGCTCGAGTGTTGGTTGCTGTGCGATACAGATGGCCAAAGCCGCGGGTTATGAGGTTTACACGACAGCGAGCAAACGCAATCATGATCTGGTTCGTTCGATTGGCGCATCGAAAGTGTTCGATCATACTCAGCCAGATGTTGAAAGCGAAATCACCGCGGCCTTGGATGGTAAGACAGTCATTGGAGCGTACGATGCCATTGTAGACCGAGAAAGATCGTTCCTGCCTTGTGCAAAGATCCTGGCAAAAACGACTGGGCCACGGAAGATCGCTGCGGTGTTGAATCCGCCTAACGTCCAGCTTCCAGAGGGCGTCGTTGCGCAGAGATGTGAGTAGACTACCTCGATTCTGAAAACACTGCAAGAAAATCAGCTAACATTTTACCTAGTGAGCATTCCTGCTTTGAGAGCTGGTCCAGTCTACAAAATCGTACATGACTGGATGGAAAAGGCACTTGCGAATGGCAGCCTGCAACCAAAGCCCAACCCCGAGATTGTCGGAGAAGGCTTTGAATACATCCAGAATGGCATCGACAGAATGCGAAAGGGCGTCAGCGCAACAAAGCTCGTGATCAAAGTATGATTCCTCGTTCCATAGCAAATGCTTTACTGCAAGAAGTCAGTGTATCCAGCTTGTAGACCGATCGAAATACCAAGACATCAGATTCGTCTGTAATCGCGAAACGCTCACAGTGGCAGCGCGTCCAAGTGAGGACACGATTCAAAGCCGTCGTGGATGAACACGTCGATGCACCCACGTCGTGGAGCCCACGGGGTGCCTTCGTCGCCATTTGCTCACGAAATCCCGTGATCGGGTTTTGCATCGGGGTATGCCACATGGCGGAAATTCAATCCCTGCACATGCAGATCTTCACAACCTCAATTGGCAATCTTCGATACAAGCTGTGTGAGAGAGTTTCTCACCGGGTCGCAAGCTTTATGCAGGGCCGCGCAAGTGGCTGCGAAATCCCGTTTGCGCAAAGTCGAACACCATACAAGCCTTTTGTACGAGTGTCTGCCAAAATGGCATGAATGTCCGCTGATCACCGGAGTCTGATAAGGGAGCGAGAGCTGGAGTGCCTAATAATTCCGGGCTGATTCGTGGCTGTCCGCTGTTGATCATTTGATGATCTTCCCAAGTACAGACAATTCGTGCCCCGTACGTCAAGTCTCCCGGGCCATAAGCTGTAAGCCCGAAGAAAACAGCGTGGTGATATACGCGCCTCCTGCTATCCCTGCTTGTTCCCTTGCAGCTTTGCTTGCAAAAACGTTTGCAAACTTGATCTTCTTTGGCATCTGCGATTCTTGATTGAAGTCATCTTTGGTCCTTGATACCAAGACTTTGATTCACTTTGAACTTGCCCAAAACAGAACGTCGACGGCATATTTGGAGACGGTGGCAAGCGTGTTGTCCCAAGGTCTGGAGTGAGTCGAGCACAATGTCAGAGGAGCCCAAAATGCCCGCAGCGCGCGAGAATCCAAGTGACGCGAGCTCGACCACAGCAAGCTCGACTCGAGAGGAGAAAGAGGTGGAAGCAGAGCCTCCTCAAAACGCGGACTCTGCGCAAACAGAAAAGCAGGAATCTCCTGAATCAGGTCCCAGCGGGCCAGTTGCTGTGCCTAGAGGCGAGCGCAGAGGTCTTTGGGCAAATTTATCGATCGTTTCTGAGGTCGAGAAGCCTTCCGAATACAAGAATGGCACGAAGTGGATGATGACCGTTATTCTCGCGTTCGCCGCTGGGACGAGTTCGACGGGCGCCGCGATCTTCTATCGTAAGCCTGGCAACGCCACGACCGAGCTCATGTGTGCAATGCTGACTTGACTGCAGCCGCCCTTCGTCCCGTGGCCGAGGATTTGGACACTTCGCCCAGCGTAGTCAACTTGTCGTTGGCATTCTACTTGCTGATAATGGCTCTCACGCCCATGTGGTGGTATGTGCATTACCGAGTGCAGATGCATGGTAATCCGGACTGACGTTAGTGACAGGGCCTCCTGGTCAGAAATCTGGGGCCGACGAACAGTCTACATTGCTTCATTCGGGCTCTTCGTTATCTTCTCCGTCATCAGCGCGGTCAGCGTAAACATTGCGATGCTCATCGTGTTTCGAATCCTCACCGGCGGTGCTGCGGCCGCTGTGCAGGCGGTCGGATCGGGAACAGTCGCAGATCTCTGGGAGCCAAAGGAACGGGGCAAGGCAATGGGAGTCTTCTTCCTCGGTCCTCTCTGCGGACCAGGTATCGCGCCTGTCATTGGTGGTATCTTGGCCCAGGAACTCGGCTGGCGAAGCACACTCTGGGCTCTCGTCATCTTTGGCGGCGTTCTCTTCCTCTCCATTGTCTTTCTGCTTCCCGAGACTGTGGCCAGACGTGAGAAGGTGAAGAAGAGCGTCATCGCACGCTTCACCGATCCAGTCAAGACACTCGGCCTGCTCAGACACCCACCGATTCTGGTCACGGTATATTCTGGCGGCTTGGGCTTCGCTGCAATCTATGTCATCAACATTGCGATCCAGGCGAACTATGGCGAAGCGCCATACAACTTCAGTGTTCTCATTGTCGGTCTGCTGTACCTCGCCCCCATGCTGGGTTATGCCGTTGCTTCCCAGACTGGAGGCCGCTGGATCGACTACTTGATGAAGCGTGGCGCTCAACGAGCTGGCCGCTACGACGCCGAAGGCAAGCCGATCTATTTGCCAGAAGACCGCATGCAGGAGAACATCTGGATCGCCGCCTCACTCTATCCTGCCGCCATGATCTGGTACGGCTGGGTCACACAGTATGGTGTCCACTGGATCGTCTCTTGCATTGCCAACTTTTTCTTCGGCATTGGAGCCATGCTTGTCTTCGGCTGTGTCCAAACCATGCTGACGGAGTTCACGCCCAAGAAGTCTTCGGCCGGCGTTGCCTTGAACAACTTTGTGCGACAGATCTTGGCTACGATCGCGACCGTGGTCGTCCAGCCTCTGATCGATGTCATGGGTACGGGATGGATGTGCACCATGATTGCTCTATTTTGCTGGGTTACCGGCAACTTGGCCATCCTTGCGTTGAAGAAGAAGGGACCTCAATGGAGGGGAAAGATGGATAAGAAGCTCAATGCTCCCAAGTCGTAAGGGAGCGATGGGCATTGTGATATGGCCTCCGATATGAGGAGCTGGTAGAGCACTGCTGCTCAGTACACAGCTGGTGTTGCATCATCGAGAGGCGATGGAAGAGTGTGATAGTACCTCAAGTAGTCAAAGGATGTGACAGTGTGTGGTCTCTAGAACGTAATGAGCCTTGACGAATCGTACTTGCCTGTCCTATGTCAATACATCGCTGGTACTGCTGCGTCTGAATCGCTGTGATGAAGCTAGTGGGCGTGATGATCGATGAAGGGAGGAGTGGAGTGGATTGAAATCCCGAGTTGCCAAGACACCTCACCTGTGTCCTACGCGTCTCTCACGACGCGTACAATCAACAACACAACCCTTCACACTCTCTCCAGATAAGGATCACTGGCCACTTCACACGCTCGATGCCAAACACATGATCGACTCAGCACCGGGTCGGCCGGGGTTGGCAGAGACGCAGGCGGTGAACATGCACCGGCACGAGCAAGAGATGCAGGCTGCCGAGGAGCAAGATGGGTTTGGAGGATGCCCGAGACATGATATCGTAGGAGATCACGTTGCCCAGAAATGTACAGAGCGACGACGTGGTTTGTAGGCGATGAGCGCGGGCAAAGACGACAATGACAGTGCACATTTCGACAACGAGCCTGCGATGATACTCCGCCCACTTGGATACGATTTCGCAAGAGGTGGCAGATTGCTAGCATATTGCTGGACATGTATACTTCGCTCTGCCGATACCAGGGATTAGCAGGCAGGAGGCTTATGGTGATTGATGCCATCTGCATAAGCAACGCCAAAAAGCAGCACTCATGTGCTTACAGTACGAATCGAACACACGACCTGAGGGGCTTCCAAATGGCAAAAGGGAAGGTCTCCGAAGAGACATCTCAGTTGATTGGTGTTTAGCCACTTCCCTGACAAAGCAGGATTCCGTTGCAGTTATAAAGGCAGGATCTGTCTCTTTCGGGACACCGCCAGCGGCTGTGCCACTATGGAGCAAACATCGCAACACGATCGCGAGAGTCTGGGGAACGAGCCGATTCTGCTGGACTCCACACATTGCAAAGTACTTCAATCATCTCTCTACATGTTTAAATGACACCTCGCACACGGTCAACGAGTTCGTCGACATTGTTTGGCAGAAAATCGCCTCTCCAAGCCACCATTCCGTCTGGGCGCACAAGCGCGAGTCGACGCTCGTACAACTCAGCCGCATCCTTCGACGAGATGGATATCGACCGCAAAGGCAATCCGACCTTGCCTGCCGCTTCTTCCAAACGTGAATCATCTGCCGACTCAGGCCCAAAGCGCAACAAGACGAAGCCATCGCCGAACAAATCGACAGTAGATTTATCTTGCTCGAGCCAGCAGTGGGGTGCTCGATGACCTGGTCTGGCAGTCTGGATATACACCTCAGGATCATCAGCTGGGGCTTCAGAACCATCTGGCACAACTAGTGACGAGTCCCCATAGTTGTACCCCAGTGCAAGCCCGAGACTCTGAAACTCTTGTCGCATGTTTGCCGCCATGTTCTCTCCAGTCATGCGTCTCTGATCTTCACCTTCGGGAGTGTCATCCAAAATCTTGTCTTTGCCAGTTTGCCAGATGGCGAAGTTCTTGGTTGAGGTCTGGCCATTTCGCACTGCAATGGGACGACGTTCTTTCTCGTATGCTGCGATGAGATTGGGTCCGCCCCATCCCTCTAGCAGAGCTTGCAACATCCAGCTGAGATCAGAAGCGTCGCCCATACCGGTGTTCATTCTTGATCAACGGGTCAGTACGTGTCATTGCGCGATCGCAAAAAGAGATACTTACCCATGGCCACCAGTTGGAGACATTGTATGAGCAGAGTCTCCAGCAAGAAACACTCTTCCGGAGTTATATCGATCCGCCGTAAACTGAGATCTCCGCCACTGGAGGACCCTCTTAACGTCGAAGTCGATATCATCTCGGCCCAGTGCTTTCTTCACGAGAGGTTTGATGTCGTAAGTGTTTGGATCAATCCTTTCCTTGATGCCAGCTACAGCGAAACGCCAAAGGTTGCGGCCATCAATCGTGGTAAAGTTCCCCCACGTGCCTTCTGTACCGATGCACATGTATCGTTCTGCCGCAGCTCCGAAAGGTGGCTTGCCATTGATATCGGCTTCGACGATCGAGCTCAGCATGAGTCCAAGGTCTTTCCCCTGGAAATCAATGCCCAACGACTTGCGGATTGCACTTCCGGGACCATCGCAAGCCACGACATATCTTGCCCTGACCGAATCGAGCAGACCTGTCTCGGCATTCTTGATCAACAGCGTCACACCGTTCGCATCCTGCTCACAGCCGGAGACCTCAAAGCCATATCTCATCTCAGTCATCTTCTGCTTGACTACAGCTCTCGCCAAAATTGGATCAAACCAACACTGTGGGCACCTCTGCAGCATCTCACTACTTTGCTCTGGCAGCTCACGCTTTTCAGCCGAGTCCATCTCCAATCTTCCGATGTACTTGTCGTGCAGCGCCGTGCAGAAGACTGTATCGCCAGGTAAGTCTTTGGGATATCCCGAATTTGCGACTTCTCTTGCACAGCCAAGACGGCGGAGATATTCCATTGTTCGTTCATTGATCACGCTGGCTTTGGCTTCGATTTGTGATGATGTTCGTGGCTTGCGTTCGAAGACAGTGGTATGTATGCCTCGTTTTCCCAGGTCCAATGCTAGAGCAAGGCCAACCGGGCCTGCGCCGACAATGGCAACATCGAGGATGCTGTTCGGTGGTGCTTCGATTGAGCCCATTGTTTATCTCTTGTGTCAATCTGTGTGGGAATGGGTATGGCAATGAGAATGACGATGATGTCGACTTTGAACAGTATTTTGACTAACACATACAATCAAGACAACACACAGGAAATATGTTTATCGAACAAGTTTCGTCTTTCAGCGATACAGCAATGCCAACAGATCTCTCCATTCGAGCTGTTACTGCCCGGCCATCGCTCCGAGTGTCCCAGGCGTCAATGCCGGTCGATGCCCACATATCCGAACCCCAGAGCGAAGCCATCTCGAAACCCCGACAACGAACCCGAAACGTGACACTGGCCAAAACCCGAGGAAATCCAGTGCACCTCGGCCCATGCAATGCATCAACACCCTCAGCTCCTCAAGACAAATGCAGCAAATACGCAATCCGCGAGGCTGCCCTGAAAAAAGCCGCATTCGCATTCCTCACACTCTAATAATTCTGCTGAGACGCGAAGTGACGTTCGAAGCGGCATCCTCCTGTTCCTGCCGCTGCTGCTGAAAAACGCCACAAGGATGGAGAGCGAGGGCCGCGTAGATCACGGCGACAGCCAGTCAGCCACAAAACCCGACCGATTCCCCGATTGGTTGTTCGTTTTGATGACTGTTCAAGAGGAGTGATTGAGTTGTAAGACAGGATTGATTAGATTATCGGAAGGATGGGAGGACGCGACGACGCTGAAGGAAGGAGGATTTTGCTGACGAGGCACTAGTATGACGACGACTTCAGTTATCTGATTTGGAAGAGTTGCAATTTTTGAGGAGCATGCCAACATCGATCGATGTGGACTGCGTTACTTCTGCAAAGTACTCCGGTCATGTTGCAACTGCAGGCGGAAGAATACGAGCTGCAGTGATTTGATACAGAATTCTGGAGTCTCTGTACAAATTGTTGCAAAAAACGGGTAGATCCGTATTCACAAGAATACGAAACCTGACAGAGCTCACACATGCAAGGCTGCAGGCGAAAAAGCCTCCCGTGTCTTGGACTCTCGTATCCCAATTGCAGCAAGGCGGAAAGAGCAACAGTGCCTCGTCTGCAAGCCACAAGACTTTGATGTCTGTACATCTCACAGCACCAGCCAATCCCATCCTGCTTATTCCTTTCCAGAGCTCCCTCAAACACCGACAACGGCTGGTCTCCGTTGGTGGCAGCAATTGTGCCGCCGCAAAGTCAAATGAATCGACAATTTTCGCTCGCCGAGGCGCTACCTCTTAGGTGCAGCGTCAGAAGCATTTGACAAGTTGCGATAAGCCTGAGAGACAGCTTGGCCTTCAGCCTAATGCAAGAAAGACTCGCGAGATGGCGCAGGGTCTTCTCGTGGCTGTCGCAGCAGCCGAGACACAATGTAACTCTGACCATTTCTGTGACGTGCCTTGCCTGGCGCTCTCGTTGCCCAAATGCTTCACCTAGGCATCTCCGGGGCATATTAGATCGGCATTGGATTCTGGCCTCGTTCGGTCGCACTGTCGCTACACCTGCTGGACAAGGAAGTTCATGATGTGATCGACATTCGTCGTCGGTATCTGGCGGGGATGATAGCAGGGCAGATCGTCGTTTCGTGTTTGTGGTCGCAACAAACATGTGAATGTGGAACCTGGGTGGGTCGCGTTCAGTGACAGCTCGGTCGAACTCTGTTATCTCGTGGCGCTGCGTGGTTGCGGAGACGTTTAGGCTTGAATGAGGCATTCCACGAGTTTCACATCCACACAACGGTTTGTGTCACACCTGAGAGGGAGAATTCATACTGACTTCCTGTCCAAGTAGATATCGAAGACACTGATGAAATGCAGCTCGCTCAGCTCAGGCAAGCCCGATTCAGTGTGGGACAGCGTTGGGTTCGGAAGGTTCCTCGGCTCGGTGCTGATTGCAGAGCTCGCGTTCCAACAATGTGTGCGAAAGGGAATGAGAACCACGTGTACCGCTTCATTCGTGCTGCTCGGATTCGCGTGCGGCGTCCTGTCAGCAGCCTTGTGCCGTCTTCTGAATGTCGATCTCAGGGTCCCAGGGCTAGGGCAGCAGCCCTGGATGCTTTTGACTGCAGCCGCGACATCAGTGGCGTTAACATGTTATTGCTGGCAATCAGTATCATACGCTGTCGCGATACAGAGATTCTGCGGCGTAACTTATATGTGGCTGAAGCAGGATCTATGATTGTCAGCCCAGGTTGCAGATTGCAAAGAGAAGCTTCGCAGGAGGAAGAAAAGAAAGCTTGGCAGTCTTGGCGTGGAACAAAGTGAGGTGATCCGCACTAGCCAACATACTGCCGAACTTGCATTAGTCTCTGCAGCTGTAGCCTCCTCTGCTGCTGACCTCGCATTCGCGTCTCTGCGTAGAGGTAGGATTGGCGGAAGCATCCATGAGGAAGCGAGCGCGCAGGCACCGGTGTGTGTGACTATGCCTTTCACAGCCTGGTGGCCATTCTGACGAACAGTCGCTGCTGAGCAGCAAAGCTGTTAGCAGTATCATGCGGAGGCGAGGAGAGGTAAGAGCTTCACGACAAAATCAAAAGCACCACGCTTCAGGCTAGACAACGCTAATGAGCATACAGGAAGTCGAGGCTAGAGCACAGGGCAGATGTGAACATATTCACTCATTGACCTAGTGCACATGCGTACTCGTTCAAGTTGAACGCAAATTGATCCGAGACGCCTGCAGTCTTAATTTAGAGGCGTGGTCCTCACTGTAGGTTTGTTTATTAACCTGTCACATTGAAGGAAAGTAAGATGACGAGGCGGATGAACAGGGCCTGTTTTTCCCGACGCTAGTTATTGGCTGAGAAGGAGCTGATCCTCCCAAGCCACCAACTCCAGTCGAAGAACGACAAGCACTCTCACAAGCAACCGCCATGCACGAACAAGACATTGAGCTCCATCGACTCGGTCCGCCGCTGCCGGCGTTGCGCTATGTACGCGCCGGAGGTACGCTTTGTGCACGAACTCGACCTGCCATATCCAGAGACTCAGCGGATGCTACAATGTTCTGACCGCCTCGATATGTGTTGAGTGATCACGCCAGCAGGTCAATTACAGCTGTGAGTCGCGACTAGTCTTACGCAACCCCGATGTTTCATTTAAGTGCTGATGGCGTGTGAGACTGCCGACACTTCTTTCCCTGACTGCGGCTGTTCATTGCTCTGCGGTTAGTGCTGAGCTGAAGGAACGTCTGACCCTTGCTTAGCCTCTCGGGTGTCGCACAGCTACAGTACTCCTATCGTACTCGTGGCAACGAAGCCTTGCGCCAAGAGACACTATCCCGCGAACCACTAGGAGGTACTACGGCATGCGACAGTCCCCGGGCTAAGGAGGAGACAGCACGTATGCAGATCAAAGTTCACAAGTGTCAGACCTGCAGCGCTTCCCACCTCCTCCCGCTGTTGACCCAGATCGACACAGAGATCGTCTTCATCTGCAACCCGGTGCCTATGATACAGTGCACCACGTACGGGCACTTGAAGGCCACCGCTTCACGCGATAACCGGCCTCGCATTGGTCTACCGGTTTATGGCCGGTGGAACTAGCCGATCATGCTTCGTTCAGGGTAGAGTGGTTGAGCTTCCTCTGTTGGTAGCTGCAGCAGAAAGTGGGCACACTTAAAGACCTGCCGCCCACGAAGCACGTTGTCCATTACATACTTTCAGTTCTCGATCTTGATCGGTGTTCTCAGCTTGCTCAGCTCATACTTTTCGCCGCGCTATACTGCCAACATGCCAAGCACGGCACCAAGACAGCCCAAGCTACGAGCTAGCTGCGATCGATGTGGTTCCGCAAAGCTCAAATGCAGCCGGGAGCATCCAAGCTGCTCTCGTTGCGCTCAGCTCGACGTCGAATGCGTTTATGGAATCAGTCGGAAATCGAATAGGAGACCAGTCCGCGTGGAGTCTGACCAACGTCCCCGGCAAGCATCTTCCGCTGGAAGTACAGCAGTTACCAACAACCAGCAACATGCCTATCGCTTGCCTGAAACCCCGACTGCAAGCACAAACTCCGACCTGGATTCTCTTATGGGCCAATCGATCATGCCCGATTTCACCACAGCCGACTTCGCCAACATGTACAGCATAGGAGCGGTGCCTACGCTAGAAGAATTCAGCAATATGGACATAGACGACTGGAACCTCGTGGTTGCAATGAACAGCGACTTCGATACAAATCTCACAACACCCGTAAGTGATACGCAAGACCCTTTGGCTTATCCACAGTCGAGCAACGCCACTTCATCATCTCACAACACTTCGACACACGACTGCCATAGAGAAGCATGTTCTATATTCGGGTGCCTATCTTTCCTGGAACTCGGCAACGGAACACAGAATCCAGCTGGCATAGCACTGGCAAGTCCCACCAGTCAAGTACCTCTAGACCAGGTTCTGGGCATCAATCGCGATGCCTGCGAGCGACTCGTCCGACTGCTCAGATGTCCATGCGCGAGGTCTCCACATCTGGCCTTGCTGTACACATCAATCTTGTCAAGAGTACTCATATGGTACCAACAAGCGGTGGGCTGTGCTCCAACAACACCATTGATGCCACTATCCGCTGGCAACATCTCTTCCACAGCCCCATCTACGGCCACAACAATATCACCATATAGCTCCAACTCAGCTGCGTCCACCTCCACAGGGTACACCTCAGTAGGATCGGAGTCGCCAATGATGAGCGAGGCATCGTCGTCTTCATGTAAGCGGACTTCAAGCATGCCAACCTTGGCACAAGCAGTAGCACCCACACAGATCGCTTTGGGAACATTTCAGATCGACGACCAGAGTGTACAAGCTGCTATGAATATCCATCTGGTCTCCAGCGAAATGAAGCGAGTCGGTGCTGTCATCGATGCCTTTGCTACGCAGTGCACGAGCGGATCCACGTCCGCAGAAGTCGGTGGCTTCGGAGGAGTCGATGGCTTACACAAAAGCTTGAGCCAATGGCTTCGTGCAGAGCACTCCAGGACAGCAGCGGTGATCAGATCGAAATTGAGCGAATTGAATGATTCAAATGTTGCGTTTAGCGGGATACCCAATCATGATAGAAGCGGATCGATGTCTTATTAGGCAGACTGTCGGAAATATGCAACTTTTCCATGCAACCGATTGCTTATTGAAAGTCTATGGTTTTGATACCATATGCGTTCCTCCTTTCCTACTGCTGTGTCGGTGTCAGCATTCGTCAGGTCCTGGCGAGAAGTGGGCAACGCCACTCTGTAAGGTGATATTCCAGTCTAGGCTGCATGACCAGGAACGTTCCAGACGATTTGCCTGTTACGCACATGCCATGAGAATGTTCGGCATTGCTTCATCAAGCCATAAAGTCGTATATGCCAGACTCCCCAAACACTGAGAAAAGCACATTCATTAGACCAGTAATCTACACTAATACTGAACAACCCCATCAACATCAACCGGCACACCTCTCAATTCATATCCCTCCTTCATAGCAACTTCCCACTGCTCCTTCACAATCCTCTCTCGCTTCTCATCTCTCAACACAAACCTCGCCTGAAAAGGCCCTGGAGTTGTGAAACCCGGATTAGGATAAGCCTTCTCACTCAAATCCATCTGACCCTCAATCCCATCTCCCGACATCGGAGGCCGAATATCAAATGTCCAGAGCATCCCCGCCAAAGCTATTCCCAAACTATTCTCCGCAACCCGAGCGCCGGGACACACACGTCTGCCTGCACTGAATGTGAAGTGATCGCGTTTGTAAGGGTCGCCCATAGCGGCGTACTCGGAGCTGTAGAGTTTGTGGTTCAGATACCTTTCGGGCATGAATTCGTGCGGGTTTTCGAAGCGGGTGGGGTCGAAGTGGAGGTAGGCGGTGTTGCAGAGGAGGATGGTGCCTTTGGGGATGATGTGGTCTTTGTAGACGACGTCGGTGCTTGTGAATTGACGAATTCCGGGGGCTAGGATGGGGTTCAGGCGTAGCATTTCTTTGACGCATGCGCGCACGTACGGCAAGTCGCAAAGATCTTCGAAACGAGGGCAGCGATTTGGTCCGACGACTCGCATTATCTCTTCTTGGGCGACTTTCTGAACGCGAGGATTGGCGGCGAGGTGCAGGACGAGGCTGTTGAGTGTTGCAGCAGAGGTTTCGAATCCAGCTTCGACGAGGCCGCCGGCCACCCAGGCAAGATCTTCTTCAGTGAGGCCTTCAGCATACCATTTCTCTTTGTTCTCGAGGATTTCCCGACCGTAGCAGGCAGGTGCCTTTCCAGCTTCGTGCTGACGCTCGAGTCGACGCCATAGATCCATTTTGATTTTGAGGACTTCCTTGCCACACTCTTCAGCTTCTTTGCGTCCTGGCTGGAGCCATGCCGGAAGCTTCTGCAAAAGTGGCAACTCGTCCACGATGAAGTATGGAGGCAGGGTCTTGCGCATAATGGCTTGGCTCCTCATAGCATTGTGCACATCCGGATGATCGATGTTTTTGACACGCGTTCCGAATGTGTTTGTCAAGACGATGCTAAAGGCAAAACGCCTCATGTGCATGTAGAAGCTGCGTTGATCTTCATTGTTCGTTGCCAAATCGAACAAAAGCTGCTTGGTTTCGAATTCCTGGCTTGGCACGAATGTCGATGTCATGGGCACAGAAGTGATCTGGCGGACGACCGATCTCTGTGCTCGCCATCGAGGTCCGTATGGCATTGTCGGCATGCGCATACCGCCAGTGACAACATCGTGGCCTAAGGGAGAGGGTGCCTTTGATGAAGTGCTGACAGCTTGCTTCTCCAGGATCTCACGCACAGCTTCAGGTGTGTTGATGACGACCCAGTTATACCAGCCAATTCGAACTTTGAAGATGTCTCCATATTCCCCAGCCCATTGTCTGAAGAGCTTTGCAGCATTTGGTGGCAGCTTTAATCCAAGACCGACGATAGGATGCAATTTTGGCCCAGGGATAGTATTGATCTTGCGGTCACGCTTCAAATAGGCGACGAGAAGGGTGAGCACAGGAAGGGCAAAACATAGGAACAAAGTGCGATAGTTCTGATAGAGAGTGAGAAGTTCGGCCATTGTGTGAAATTGTGATCAAATGAATTGTAAGGAGACGATTGATGGAGCTAGTCCTGGCGTTTGGATTGCAGTCTTGCACTTGAGCACGAAAGGCACCCACTCACCGTAGACACTGACTAAGCGGTCTTCTCAGTGCACTCTCGTGAAACAGCCATTGTGTGCAATGCCGTCGGGATATGGGTGGGGAGGTGAGGTTGCGAAGGATTCCCGAAGCCAAACCCGAGCGAACCCCCTTCAGCACACCACACATCCTCACATGCCAAGCTTCCACGGCAAGGGCTTATGCTCTGCACGCGAGGCTTGATGATCTTCTCGTGGGTTGGCATGGGTTCGCTTCACATGGAACTTTAATCTCATATGGGTATTCACATCGCATGAAGACCCGAGGGAGATGCGGTCAGTGCCCGGCTGCCTTGTTGGGCAAAGCGACAGGCCGGGACACGCCAGGGGACCACTAGATTGGTGGCAATTTTGGATCATGTTTGCTCAGTGCAACGTCCGAGATGATAGCGCGTCACGCAAGCAACCTCCGAGCGGACTGAGCGGGATTCTGGCAAGTCGACGGCATCGATCGCGGGACGCAGCAAGTCAGCTTCGTGGTGATGTTGATGGCCGGGATAGAACGAAGAAGTGTTGTTCCGTCGGGGAGGAAGTATATACGTCGCATCGTGCACCTTGATCAGAATTATCAGCAAATGTCTTGTACCTCGTACTCTCTTACCATTTTTCTGTTTGCCCATACTCGCCGATGAGCTGAGCTCACCAGAATCCTACATCGATATTTCGAACCACACTGATCATACTGATCGCACATCACCCACAACGACTGTTCATTAGAAGCATCAGCCTACACAGTCAGCATGTCTGGATCACAGAAGCTTTACCTCTTCGGAGACCAGACCTACGAGGTCCAGCCACATCTCAAGGACCTTCTCCGATACAGGACAAATCCTGTGCTCGACGACTTCCTCGTCAAGGCATACGATGTCATCCGAAACCACATCTATGAGCTTCCCATCCAAGTACGGGACGACCTGCCAAGGTTCACTTGTGTCGACGACTTGCTTTTGATGAAGCCTGCATCGACAAGATGCATCCCCTTGGACATGGCTATCACGTGCTTGTATCAACTAGGTGTCTTCATCAGTCAGACAGACCTCGAGTACCCTCGCTCAGATAACGCCCGCGTCTTGGGGTTATGCACTGGCACTCTGGCAGCAGCAGCTGTCAGCTGCAGTCGAAGCACGCTCGACCTCATCCCACTGGCTGTGGCAGCAGTATCCGCCGCATTCAAGACTGGAATGCACGTCACCGACCTCGCTCATCGTGTTCAACCATCGCCGGATGCCACGACGGGTCTCACTTGGTCGATGCTCGCCGCTGCCTCTGAAAGCACCACCGAGGCGTTGTCAAAATTCTGCCAAGAGACAAAGTTGCCGTTGACTGACAGGCCTTATGTCTCCGCCGTTGCACCAAGTGCCATCACCATCAGCGGCCCGCCCAATTCTCTGGCGAAGCTCATCAGCTCTGATCACTTCACTGGGATCAGAATCAAGCGCATTCCGATCTTCGCTCCTTATCACTGCCCGCATCTCTGCTCGCAGGATGATGTTGAGGAGATCGTGGCCGGCTTGGACGCTACCACTGCTCAGCGTCGTAACGAGACGCCTGTTCTGTCAACAGCAGGCACTGTTGTCGGTGTCGAGAACTTTGAATTCCTCCTCAAGGAGGCCATTTCGCAGATCTTGCTCCAGCCAATTAGCTGGTCTGGTATTATTGACGAAGTGCAGAAATGGCTTAACGCCTCTGATGCAGAGTCCTTCAACATCAATGCCATTGCAACGATAGCAGATCAAGTGATCTACAATGCGCTCAAGCAAAGTAGCCTGAAGAACTTAGTGTCTTCAGCACCAGCACAACCCAAGCTGAACACCCCAGAGCAAGCACCTGGGAATCCGAAGCAACCGAAGCTTGCCATTATTGGTCTCTCCGGACGATATCCTGATGCGAAGGACAACGAAGCCTTCTGGAACTTGTTGTACCAAGGTCTCGATGTTCACAAAGAAGTGCCTGCATTTCACTGGGACGCCAAAACCCACGTCGACCCAACAGGCAAAATCAAGAACACCAGCACCACACCATATGGCTGTTGGTTGGACAACCCAAAGGAGTTTGACTGCAAGTTTTTCAATATCAGGTTGGTACCAATGCGTCCTTATATCGTTCAACCAGGCTGATGACGCGTGTAGCCCTCGAGAAGCAGCAGAGATCGATCCTGCCCAGCGCATTGCACTTATGACTGCATACGAAGCCATTGAGCAAGCAGGCCTTGTTCCCGATGCGACACCAAGCACTCGACGTGATCGTGTTGGCGTCTTCTATGGCGTAACAAGCAATGACTGGATGGAGACCAACTCCGCCCAGAACATCAGTAAGTCCACCATCATTCTATCGTAGTACTGCATCAGCTGACATGGCCAAGGCACATATTTCATCCCAGGCGGCAATCGAGCCTTCATCCCAGGAAGGATCAACTATTGTTTCAAGTTTTCTGGCCCATCGTATGCAGTCGATACTGCTTGCTCCTCCAGTTTAGCTGGTATCCATATCGCCTGCAATGCACTTTGGCGTGGAGACATCGATACGGCTATTGCAGGCGGTACTAACGTCCTCACGAATCCAGACTTCACGTCCGGACTTTCGCGAGGGCACTTTCTTTCCAACACGGGCAATTGCAAAACGTTTGACGATGATGCCGACGGATACTGCCGAGGTGAAGGTGTTGGTACTGTGATCATTAAGCGTCTCGATGATGCGATCGCCGACAAAGACCCGATCCAAGGCATTATCTTGGGTGCGTACACCAACCACAGCGCAGAGAGTGAGTCGATCACTCGACCACACGTGGGTGCTCAGCGTGCCATCTTCCAGAAGATCCTGAACCAAGGTGCTGTCGATCCATACGATGTTAGCTACGTGGAGATGCACGGCACTGGCACTCAAGCCGGAGACGCCGGCGAGATGTCCAGTGTCCTGCAGACGTTCGCTCCACCACTTGATGGAGTCAAGAAGCCTCGTTCAGAGGATCAGGCGTTGTACCTTGGAAGTGCTAAAGCGAACATCGGCCACGGAGAAGCTGTATCAGGCGTTTCGGCTTTAATCAAGGTGCTTCTCATGATGAAGAAGAACATGATCCCGCCTCACGTAGGTATCAAGAACAAGATCAACCACAAGTTCCCCACGGACCTCGACAAGCGCAACGTCAATATTGCCATGAAAGCCACCCCATGGGAGCGAAAGGGATCCGGACCGAGAAGAACCTTCGTGAACAACTTCAGTGCTGCAGGAGGCAACTCCGCATTGCTGCTCGAGGATGCTCCGCTCGTTGGAGAAATCGAAGACAGTGATCCTCGAACTCTTCACTTGATCGCTCTCTCTGGGAAGAACGGCAGTTCTCTGCAAGGCAACCTACAATCCTTGCGAAACTATCTGAGGCAGAATTCGGAGGTTTCGCTCAGCCAGTTGTCTTACACCACAACAGCACGCAGAATCCACCACCAGCACCGCGTTATGCTGTGCGGCAAGGACGCCAGCGAGCTCTGTCAGCAAATCGACAAGGCAGCCGAAGACAAAGTCGGCATGACCAGGCCCAAGAGTGCTCCGAAGGTCTTGTTCACTTTCACTGGAAACGGTGCCCAGTATCCTGGCATGGCCCGCGAGCTTTTCGATAACTTCTCCGTCTTCCGCAAGGAGATGCGCCGCCTCGATAAGATTGGCCAAAATCTTGGATTCCCGTCCATGCTTCCCGTCATCCAATCGACTGAGCAAGACATCGGTATGTTTGCCCCAACGCCAGTGCAACTGGCCACGACTTGCATGCAGATCGCCTTGACCAGGCTTTGGGCCTCTTTCGAGATCAGACCTGCTGCAGTGGTCGGCCACTCCCTTGGCGAGTACGCTGCCCTCAACGTAGCAGGTGTATTGTCCGACACGGACACCCTTTACCTTGTTGGCAAGCGAGCGCAGCTGCTGGAGGCCAAGTGCCAGGTTGGCACCCACTCCATGCTGGTCGTCAAGAGCGATGTCAAGACTATCTTTGCGGCACTCCGCGACTCCAAGTTCGAAGTCGCCTGCATCAATTCGCCTGTCGAGACCGTGCTTGCAGGCCCTAGTGCAGAGATCGCATCTTTCAGCGAAACCTTGAGCGCAGCTGGTCTCAAGTCCACGCTGCTCAAGGTGCCATATGCGTTTCACTCTTCGCAAGTGGACCCAATCCTCGGGGACTTCACTGAGCTGGCTCGTGGAGTCACATATTCTAGTGCACGAATTCCAATTCTGTGCCCGCTCGACGGAAGCGTTGTCGACAAGATGACTGAGAGCTTCGATGCCGAATACTTTTCTCGCCATTGCCGCGAGCCGGTGAATATGCTCACTGCTCTCGAGCAAGCTCAGTCGGAGGGCTACATTAGCGATGCCACCACGACACTCGAGATTGGGCCACATCCAGCTGTCAGCGGTATGGTCAAGGCTAACCTGCCCAAGATTGTCAACTTGCCCTCGCTGCAGCGCGGCAGATATGTCTGGGCAACCATGTCAGCAGCACTGAAGACTTTGTACATGGCTGGCGCGGACATCAGGTGGTCTCAGTATCATCGCGACTTCCCTTCCTCACACAAGGTTCTTCCACTTCCGGCCTACAGCTGGGATCTCAAGGATTACTGGATCCAGTATGTCAATGATTGGTCCCTGCGCAAGGGCGATGCTCCATTGGTCATCAAAGAGCGTGCGGCAAAGCTCGAGAGCACCACGATCCACAACATCGTGGAGGAGACCGGCGATGACCAGAAGGCGCATATCGTGGTTGAAGCTGATATCGCTCGTGAAGATCTCAGCCCACTTGTGCAAGGCCACGAGGTGGATGGCATTCCTCTCTGCACGCCAAGTGTCTACTGCGACATTGCACTTTCTCTTGGTACCTATCTTGTGGACAAGTACCGCCCGCAACAGACCGAAAGACTGGTCGATGTCGGCAGCATGGATATCTCCAAGGCTCTGATCTTGAACTCGGCAGGAAGCAAGCAGCTCCTCCAAGCTCACGCGGATGTCGATTGGGCCAACAACGAAGCCAAGATCCGCTTCATGTCTTTCAACGCCCGGCAAAAGCTTCAAGAGCATGCTCGATGCGTGGTTCGCTTCCAAGATCGCAGTCTCTTGACTAAGCTCGAAGCAGAGAAGGCCACCATCAAGAAGAAGATGCAGAACTTGCGCGACGGCATTGCCAAAGAGACGGCAGCTCGCTTCAACAGGCCTATGGTATACCGCGCCATTCGTCCACTGGCTCGCTTTCACGACGATTACCGTGCAATCGATGAAGTCGTGCTCGATAGCAAGACTCTCGAAGCGACCAGCAAGCTCAGCTTTGGCACAGTCAAGAGAGGTGGTGACTATCACACCCACCCGGCTGTCATCGATGCGTTGACGCAGTCATGTGGCTTCACCATGAACTGCAATGATGCTGTCGACCTTGACAAGGAAGTGTTCATGAATCACGGCTGGGCAGGTTTCCAGATCTTCGAGCCGATCGACTTCGACAAGACGTACACCACGTACACCCAGATGCACGAGGGCAACGATAAGCTCTGGCACGGCGATGTTGCAATCTTTGACCAAGATGACAAGATCGTTGCGAGCTTCAAAGGTATCGCCATCCAGGGTGTGCCACGCCGTGTCCTCAAAGTCATCTTGAACAATGAGAGCAGAAGCGTCCAGCCAAAGGGAGTGGAGGCGCCACCAAAAGCTGCACCAGTCGAGAAGGTCGCACCAGCCTCAGCGAAGGTTACCGCACCTGCAAAGCCTGCAGCTCGAACGGAACCTGCGGCGCTCGCCCCTGCCCCGAAGATTGGTCAAGCTCTGACAATTGTCGCCGAGGAGAGTGGTATTGCTGAGAACGATCTTGGCGACGATACTGTCTTCGCTGATGCAGGTATTGACAGCTTGATGGGCTTGACTATTTCCGCTCGATTCAAGGAAGAACTGGACCTGGACCTCGACTTCAACTCGCTCTTCTACGAGTACCCTGCTGTCAAGGATCTCAAGAAGCTCCTCGGAGAATCAGGCCTTACCGCAGGTCCACAGTCTACGATCAGAAGCGAGCCAGAGTCGGAGAACAGCAGCGACTCTGGTCATGATGCGAGTGGCTCATCTGACGCGGGTTCCGATGCAGGAACTGGCGCAACGACTCCAATCTCCTCTATTGGCACACCTGATTCGAAGAAGCATGGTTCCAACGTGAACTCCGAGGTCTTCAAGAGCGCCTTGTCCATCGTCTCTGAGGAGTCTGGGGTAGCTGTGGGAGACCTTACTGACGAGACCGATTTCGCCGACAGCGGTATCGATTCTCTGCTCTCGCTCGTCATCGTCAGCCGACTCCGTGATGAGCTCGAACTCGACATCCAGCACGAGTCGCTCTTCCTAGAGTGCCCTACCGTCCGCGACCTCAAGACCATGTTGTGTGGAGAGACTGCCGAGCCAGCTGAGTTAACTCCTCCAGCTATCGAGGAATTGGAAACGCCACCCAAGCCAGCCACGATTGCTGAGCCAGAGGCTGCCCCAGTCAAGATGAGATCCGCAGAACAGATTGCTGCCCTTCCAGCACGCAAGCAGGCTGTCACCGAATTGGTCAATAAGTACACAGCGGGCTTCACAGCGCCTTCTCCAGATCCAAACGGAAAGATGCCAGCCGAGAACGAGAAGGTCGTCCTCGTTACCGGTGCCAGTGGCAGTCTCGGTGGCCATCTCACATACCACTTGGCTATGCTCGAGGATGTCAAGACCGTAGTCTGCCTCAACCGCGAGAACAGAAATGAGAAGTATGCTCGTCAGCACAAGGCTATGAAAGAGAAAGGTATCCGCTTCCCTGATAACCTGCGACACAAGCTGTTGGTCTTCCAGACCGACACCAGCAAGCCAAAGTTCGGGCTTACAGACGAGGAGTACGAGAAGCTGACAGGCTCTGTCACCCATCTCGTTCACAACGCCTGGCCAATGAGCGCAAAGCGTCCACTTGCTGGTTTCGAGCCTCAGTTCCAGGTCTTCCGTAACCTCATCGACTTCGGATGCGATGTGGTCTCTAAGAGACCAGCCAGCTTCAAGTTCGGATTCCAGTTGGTATCTTCGATTGGAGTTGTGGGCCAGTACGATATTGACAACTACAAGCCCGGCACTGGAATGAAGCAGATTGTTCCCGAGGAGCGAGTTGATATTGACTCTGTCCTCACAAACGGATATGGCGAGGCCAAGTGGGGATGTGAGAGGATGCTTGACGAGACTCTTCACAAGCACTCCGATCACTTCCGCACTATGGCTGTCCGCCTTGGTCAGATTGCGGGTTCAAAGACATCCGGATATTGGAACCCAATGGTAAGTTGAAAGCCTTTGGTTCGTGACCTGACAACTGCTGACGTCAAAATAGGAACACTTCGGATTCTTGGTCAAGAGCTCGCAGACGCTCAATGCTCTCCCCGACCTCGATGGTGGCCTCTTTTGGACTCCAGTCAACGACATCGCAGGAGCACTTTCCGATCTCGTCCTCGCTGACAATACACCATATCCCATCTACCACATCGAGAACCCCGTCGGCCAATCATGGAAGGATATGACCAAGATCCTGGCAGAGGCACTTCATATTGATAACATTGTTCCCTTCAACGACTGGCTCGAGATGGTGAAGAATGCGCCTCAGAAGGACAATCCGGCTTCTACGCTGCTCGACTTCCTCGACGACAACTTTCTCCGCATGTCATGCGGTGGCCTGGTGCTGGACTGTAAGAAGACTGTCGAGCACTCGCCTATTCTTGCAGCTTGCGGTCCTGTATCCGACATTGTTGCTCAAAAGTATATCCAGATTTGGAAAGAGATTGTAAGTTGAAGCCATTCATTCCACGCACTGCATGCGTGAGATATATGCTGACATCGCGTCTCTAGGGCTTCCTGAAATCCACTGCGGAAGATCGAGCTCGGTTTGAGGAGATTCGGGAACGTCTTTGGGGCTCCGCTCCAGCGGCCAAGTGAAGTTGAAATGAGATGACGTTTTAGGTCTTGGCGTTCCCGGAGGTTTTGCATAGCGAGGAGTTGGGGAGTTTTGGGAAGCAAAGACAACAACACTTAGAATGTATAGACACGCATAATAAGAGTATGGGCATTTCAAAAACTTCTCTTCCTCTTCCACTTACACTCCTCGTGTTACAAAGATGTGCTTGGAACTCTCCTATTTTCTACTAGCTAATCCAAGGCACTCGCCTTCTCTTATGCCGGCATACCAGAAGCCTCTCACACTTCGCTCATCGCAGTTTGAATTTGCTCAAAGCTCGGCAGGACATTCGATAAGGTCGAGTTCTTCATTCTTGATCCAAAGCGGCGGCCTGGGGAATAGTTTCTCAATCTATCCCTATCTCTACAACTAAGCCTTCCGCACAACGCTTGTCTCCGACAAGAACAAATTTCGTTCATTCATTCCAAATCACCTCCCTTCTCCATCTCCCTCAACCCACTCCCACCCGCACCC